GAAAGTGAATGGGAAAGGAGGGGAGAGGGAAGGGAAGACCTCTGGGGACAGGAGTGGCCGGAGAGAAGAGAGAGGCAGAAAGAAAGGGAGAGAGAAAGAGAGACAGAGAAGCGGGATGGGGGTGGGGGGAAGATGGGAGGTGGGCGGGGCCCTTTTGAAGGGAAACACAGTGAATGTGCACAGGTGGTGCTCTTAGTGGCTGCAGCTGAGGGCGCATCCTTTCAGGACCCCAAGGGCAGGCAGGCCAGTGCACATGCCTGAATACTAACACCGGTTCACATGTGGAAGTCTGAGAACTGTAGAGGGCGTGGAGGTCTTAGTGCTCACAGTCACGCACTGGGGGAGCCTGCAAGGTTAAGCATGCAGGGTTTTTCCTTCAAGGGAAGGAATCCAAAATCTGTCTTCTGCCCAGAAGGTTGGAGCTGATGTACTTTCTAGCCCTTTGGCCACTGTGAAATGTGTTGGCTGAAGGTTTTCTCCAATGGGACCATCCTCCAGACCCATCCTGGCAAACCTGCTTCTGTACAATCTATCTTTATGGAAGGTGTCACATATACTTTACAAAGTTTCGATGTAGTCATGTGTGATCTGTATACAGCTTACTTTGCTCCTCAACGAGACTTAGGTATGCTTTAGTGTGCCCATGGGATTGCATTAATCATCACAAGAATAATTTTTACCAGATTGTGCTCTATTTAAATAAACCCAAAATAAACAATGCCCGACGTTTGAACCAACATTGGCTACTGAGCCATTTTGCTCTGAATTGCATTTTTGCCTCTCAGCGCTCATATCTTTGCTGCCTTGCAGGCTGCAGAGATCCCGGCAGAAGACAACTTCAGAGAGTCCGTTCTTTCCTCATGCGGGACTCTGGGGTCAAACTCGGACTGTTGGGCTTGGCAACAGGCATCTTTGTCCACTGAACCATCTCATAGCATGAACTTTTTCCTTTTTTATGATGGGCAAACTAGAACTTTTATCATTCTACCAAGAGCCCTTTCATCTCTAACAAAGGTTTTGTTTGTTTCATTTGAGACAATGACTCCTAGCTCAGGTTGGCCTCAAACTCAAGACCCTCCTGCCTTAGCCTCCCCCTTTAGCTTTGCTGACAACTAAGGACCCCTGTGCACCCCTGTCCAGGCTCCTTTTGTTAATTGGCTATGGTTCTATACATTATCCTTCTACAGACTTTTTATATCATTGGGTTTTGAGACTGTATCTTGAAAACAGCAAATACCTAGATTTTTTAAATAAAATCTACCATCAAATTGCTAGTTTACTAGCATTTATAGTTATCATCTTTATTTATACATTTGAAATGGCTTCTATCCTCTTAATTTGTAATTTCAAGGACTAGAAAGATGACCCAGCAATTAGGACCACTCACTGATTTTGCAGAGGAACCTCGATCCAGTTCCCAGGACCCAAATGATGACTCCATTCATCTGTAACTCCAGTTTAAGGGGATCTGACACCTTCTTCTGGCCTCTGAGGGTACTTAGCATGCACATGGTACCCAGACATGCATGCAGGCAAAATACCCATACACCTAAAATAAAAATAATAAACACTTTATTTGAAATTTCAGTGGGTCCAATTTTTTCTATACTTTTTTCTTTCTTTGGGGGTACTAAGAATTACATTGGGGGTCTTATACACACCAGGAAAAAGTTATATCAAATGAACTATATCTCCAGCTACGTTTTCTTTCTTTATTTCTTTTTTTGGTTTTATGAGACGGGGTTTCTCTGTATTGTTTTGGAGGCTGTCGGTCCAGCCCAGCCTCTAACTCACAGAGATCCGCCTGCCTCTACCTCCAGAGTGCTGGGATTAAAGGCCTGCGCCACCACCGCCCGGCTCCAGCTACGTTTTTAATGTCATAAAAAAATTAGATATATGTAAAGTATCTGTCCTGGTTGGTTTTTCGTTGTTGTTATTTGTTTTTATCAACTTCTCAGAAGTAAGAATTATCTGAGAAGGGAAACCTTGGTTGAGAAACATCCTCCATCAGATTTCCTGTAGGCAAGTCTGAAGGGCACTTCCTTAGTGTGGGGGAGTCTAACTCCCAGTGTCACTCATGGGTAGGCAATCCTGGGATGCCTAAGGAAGTGAGCAAAGCGAGCCAGAGGGAGCAAGCCAGGAAGCAGGGCCGCTCTCTTTCTCCTGCAAAGCTTTCGGCCAGTGCTCCAGCACCATGTGAGCTACCAGGCTGCTCTTCCCGGCCACGCTGACAATGGACTAACCTCTGAAACTGTAAGCCAGTTCCAGTTAAATGCTTTCACTCATGAGTTGCCTGGGTCACAGCAGTAGAACCATAACTAAGACACCTGTAAGCAGGAGTTCTGGTCTATCCTCTTATACCTTGTTTTATTTTCTCACTCACCTGTATTTCATTGTCAAGAGACACTGACTGAAGGCTTTAATGAATGAACGTTCTCCCTTTATCTTTTCCCTACAAATCTCTTCCACGTGTTGGGGTCTTTCTGTTTTGCTTTGCGACATCCCCTTTCTTAAGTAACCAGGGTTCATCCCTGGTGTACTCACCAGTGGGTACCAAAGAAAGACAACGACTCTCCCTCCTCTGGCACTTTCCAATATCTAATAGTTACCTGAGAGGAGTGAGGTCACTATGCATTTTGACGTTCTTATTATTAATTATGTGTATGTGAGTATGTCTGTGTAGATATGTACACACGTGTCTGGGTGTCTCTGGAGGTCAGGAGAAGGTATTGGATCCCCTGGTACTGGTGTTACATAGGCTGCCTGACATGGGTTCTGGCTGAACTCCAGGCCTCTGCAATAGTAGCAAGTACTCCTGTCCACTGAGCCATCTCTCTGGCTCCTGGTCTCAACATTCTAAAAGCAAAATTTGTTTGGTTTCTGCAGAGAGCACTGCCTGTGGGCTGTGAAGCAGTTGACAATGAGGATGCCCACCCGAGATTTGGCTTTCAAATACACAATATTCCTTATAATACCACACTGAAATGAAAGTTAAGCAGACACCTCGCCAAGTGGAGAACTTGGGCAGGAAGTGCTGCGGGCTTCCTCTGGGGAATCTTCCCTGGCGAGGATGCTTTGGGAGGCTTGCTGGCTTGACCCACGTCACCTGAGACGTCTTTCGGCATCGACAGGCTGGGAGGATGGTACCAATGGAGATCCAGCAGGCCACTGAGAGCAGAGGCCCGAGGCTGGCATTGCCGGGCAGGCAAGTGTGAGCCCAGGGGCTGTGCCAGGAGTGGAAGTTTAACTGTCCCTGACACCAGGGCGGCACACAGGGTCCAGTCCCTCCCTAGTCATCTCACCCAGGGGCATCGATGCAGAAGGGAAAGAAGCCAAGTCTCAGGAGTACGCCGGTGAGATAGATCCTAGAGAACATTTCCGGAGATCCAGTTTTTGTATCTCTCCATGGAGCCGTAGCTTTGGGCCTTGGGACTCAAATATCGGTCATGGTTCATTAACAAATCAGGGCCACCTTGTGGTTAGGTCATTAGCATATCTAGGCCTGCCTTGGATTTGGCTCCTACCTGAGCTACCACGTGCTGGGGCTTACTAACATATCAGAGTTGGTTCTGAGGCCCAGCTCTGATCAGAGCTACCTGGTTGCAAGCTCCTGTCTTACAGGTATTACGTTATTCCAGACCACACAAAATGGATTTAAGTTACACAAAATGGTTTCACTTATGCTAACAGTTTGGGTTTTTGTTTTGATTCTTTGAGACAGGGGTTTTCTGTGTAACAGCCCTCCCTGCCTGTCCCAGAACTCACTCTAGTCCAGGCTGGCCTCAATTCAGTGAGATTCACCTGCCTCTGCCTCTGGAGTGCTGGGATTAAGGGCGTGGGCCACCTGGCTAATAGCTGCGTTCTAATTGACATACATCTCACTATGTAGCCTTGGCTTGCCTGGAACTCACAGACCTCCAGAATGCAGGATTAAAATTCTGTACCCCCAGAGCCAATCTGGGCTCAGCATTTTCCTCTAAAAACAAAACAAGATTTATTCATGAAGTCTTTTAAGACTTGGTTTTCTGCATGCGTGTTTTGCCCACAGAGGTCAGAAGATGACGGATCCTCGGGAATTGGAGTTACGGTTGGTTGTTGGGCACCATGTGGTTGCTGGGACTGTACCTCTGTCAGAGCAAGAAATCACTCCCAACTGCTCAGCCAACTCTCCAGGCCCCAGCATCAGCATTTTTAAACAAGAAGTATTATGTCAATTATCTGTTTTCATTTTTCTCTTCGTGTGTCCTAGAGGACTCGTTGCAGCTATAGAGGACCAGGCACACTCTGTACCAAGAGGTTGGCAGAGAAAAGCAAAAGCCAAACTCCTAGAAATGCTTTCCTAATGTGTCTTCCAGAATCTACAGGATACCCGTCAGCCTGTAAACACAAGGTCAGCGTCAGCCTATAAACACAAGGTCAACATCAGCCTGTAAACACAAGGTCAGCGTAGCTGCACCGGCCCGGGATTTTTGTTCACTTGCTATCTTAAGAGGTTAGCCCATGTTGGCTTGGATGTGTGTTGTTGTTTCTAAGTAGAACTCAGTGGCAGCCCCTTAATTTTACCGTCAGCTGGAAGCAGAAATGGAATGAATGACCTCAGCTAACTTTATTAAAACTTTTCTTTCTTGAGCGTGGCATCTTATGCTTTTAATCCCAGCATTCAGAGGCAGGCGGGCGGATCTCTGTGAGCTACATCATGAGCTCCAGGACGGCCAGCACGACACAGTGAGACTGTCTCAAAAAAAGGAAAACAATCTCTTAAAATGAAAGGAGATGAGGGAAAAAAAAAACAAACAAACGACCTGGTGAGGCGAGGAGAAAACTTCACCGCTCCCGCCCGCTGCACCGGGACGGAGGCTCGCTGCCTGCTTGCCGCCGCCCTCATCACCCTCCCTCGGCCAAGCCCCTGCCTTCCAAACAATTCAAAAGTCGCACAGAGCCAACCTATCGCCAGCCTCGTCCGAGGGGAGGGGCGGGACTTCCGGGAGTGTGGCCACAAGTCCCTCCAATCAGCGGCCGGCCGCGGGAAGTTCGCTTCGGGGCCGCTTCGGGTGTCCCTTCTGCGGAGGAGGCTTCTCTGCTGTTGTGGGGTCGTGGGGAGACGTGTCCAGACGCTGCCTTCAGGTAAGCAGGGTTCCCTTGGCTGCGCGCCGGTCTGAGAGTGGCCTGGGCCGCAGGGAGCGCACTGATGGCCCCCGAGAGGTGCCCGCCGCCGGGAGCCCTTGCCGCTCTTGCGGGCGGGGGCCGTGCAGAGCAGCGGCGGCTTGGCACTGGGAGAGGCCGTCGGCGGAGGGGCAGCCGCAGCATCCGCTGAGGACCCCGGACCGAAGGGGGCCATGAAGAAGACCCGGGGTCGGGCCCCGGTCCAGAGAGCCTGCGAGAGGCTCTAGGAGGAGGCGCAGCCCCGCTGCGGCGGAAGGGTGACCCCAGAGCTTCGGAGATGCCGGCACCGTAGGGCGACCAAGAAGAGCGGCGGCGGCGGCGGTGCAGCGGGGCTGGCCAGAGCCTAAGACTAGCCGTGTGTGCCGCAGAAGGCGAGCACCAGGCGTCGGACGTGCTGCTGCTTACACTTGGAGTTTTGGTTTTGCTTTGGTTTGCTTGTGACTGAGCCCTGGTTCTTCCCTCTTGAAGTGAGAAGGCATCTAGTTTCATTTTTAGTCTTACAAGAGCCCACGGCCGAAATTCTCCGAACTTCTCCAATACTTTTTTGATTTATTTATTTATTTTTTACCTTCAATTCTTTGACCCTTTAAGAGATTTTGGATTTGTAGAGAGATTGCATATTTTAAAGAGACTGAAACTTGAGTGTGTTTGAGTTTGTAAAGACTATGGGCTTGTGTTGTAGTTGTTGTTTTGGTTTGGCTTTTTTTTTTTCTTTTTTTTTTGTTTTGAGACAGGGTTTCTCTGTGTAGCTTTAGAGTCTGTGAGCTCTGTAGACCAGGCTGGCCTTGAATTTACAGAGATCCACCTGCCTCTGCCTACCGAGTGCTGGGATTAAAGGCATAGGTTACTACCACCTAGCAAGACTTTGGACTTTTAAAGGTATTTATGTTTTTAATGTGAGGTCTTGGAGATGAATAAGAAACGGAAGGTTATGGTTTAATAGTGATAATGTTTGTCAAACGGACAAGGGGTCAGTTGTCCTGCTAGCCTTTTTTTGTTTCCTCTGGTGATGAATAAAAAATCTCTGCCTTTCTTCTCAATTCAAGAAGCAAAAATGGTCTGGGGAGATGGCTCAGTCCACTAAGTAGCTGCCAGTCAACCACCAACACCTCAGGTTTGGTGGGTTTCTCTGTAGCTTTGGAGCCTGTCCTGGAATGCTGCTCTGTAGACCAGGTTGGCCTTGAACTCAAAGAGATCCTGTTTCTGCGATCCTGTTTCTGCTTACCAAGTACTGGAATTAAAGATGTGCCTCCTCCCCCCCCCCGCTGTGTCCTGTTAGTCTTATGGCTAGTCTTATGTCAATTTGACACACAAACTGGAGTTATCTGAGAGGGCAACCTCAGTTGAGAAGATGGTCCATAAGATCCAGCTGTAGGATATTTTCTTAATTGGTGATTGATGGGGAGGGCCCAGCCCATTGTGGGTGTTGCCATCTCTGGGCTGGTGGTCCTGGGTTCTATAAGAAAGCAGGCTGAGCAAGCTATAGGGAGCAAGCCAGTGAGCAGCGCCCCTCCATGGCCTCTGCATCAGCTCCTGCCTTCAGGTTCCTGTCCTGCTTGAGTTCCTGTCCTGACTTCCTCCAATGAAGGACTGTGATCTGGAAGTGTGAGCCAGATAAACGCTTTCCTCCCCAACTTGCTCTTTTGGTCTTGGTGTTTTGTTGAGCAACAACAAAACCAAGAGCTCTCTTTCTGATTTTTCTTGAGACAGAGCTTCTCATCAAAGCTGGAGCTCATGAATTCAGTCAGGCTGGCTGGGCCAGAGCTTTGGTTAAGCACCTGTCCCTGCCCAGATCAGGGCTGGAATCACAGACATGTGCTGCTGTGCCCGGCGCTTAGGTGGTAGAGATGAGCTGAGGTGTTGGTGGTTGACTGGCAGCTACTTAGTGGACTGAGCCATCTCCCCAGACCATTTTTGCTTCTTGAATTGAGAAGAAAGGCAGAGGTTTTTTTATTCATCACCAGAGGAAGGTTAAGAAAGTTGTTCTGCAACACAGTTCTGTACTTTCTCTGTTGCCACTTTGCATGGTGCCTCCTCTCTGTTCCAGATTATAGTTTTTCTCTGCTTCACTTTTATCTGTTAAGTAGCTTCCTCCTTGGATACCCCAAATAGGCCCCGGTATCCTGTCTTTGATAACTTTCTACTTTCATATTTACTCATTTTTATTCTGTTGTGTGTTTTAATATTTTAAGGGAGCACAAAGCGGTGTAGGAGATGGACTGAAATCTTGTGTTTTATTGATTTATTTTGGTCTTTGAGAGAGGCTCTTACTTTATAGCCCAGACTGTTTACAGACTCACAATGATCTTCTTGCTTGAGCCTCCCAAGTGGTGGAATTACAAGGTGAGCCAGCCACCACAACCTGGTCTTAGATTTTAATTTTTTTTTTCCTTCCAGTTTTTCAAGGCAGGGTTTCTCTGTGGCTTTAGATGCTGTCTTGGAACTCGCTTTCGTAGATTAGGCTGGTCTCGAACTCAAAGAGATCAGTCTGCCTCCGCCTCCTGAGTGCTGGGATTAAAGGGGTGCGCCACCACCGCCGGCAGATTTCAGTTTTTTAAATAAAACGAAAATCCAATTCAAGTTGGTATCTATTTCTCTTTTTTGACAGGATGCCTTTATCCCAATTTGCCAATCGGCTTCGGAAAGATTTAAGCACTGAAATGATTAGAACTAGCATTGCTCACAGGAAGTCGATATCTCAGAAGGAAAACAGATATAAGGTGTATGAACGAAACAGGCACTTGGGCGTGAGAGATGTCAACATTCCATTGGAAGGGAGAGAGCTTGTTGATATACATGAGGTGTCTCAAGACTGCGCTCCAGAAAGGGCCAGTGCCAAAACGAGTAAGTAAAGACCTTTCATTATTGTAAGCCCTTTTCCGAGTAAGTCAGAGTGGGTCTGGAGAGATGTCTCAACAGTTAGGAGTGCTTACTGCTCTTGTAGAGAACCTGGGTTCACTTCCTGGCATGGTGGCTCACAACTGTCTGGACTCCAGCTCCAGGAGGTCTGACTCCTCCTCTGACCTCCGCAGGCTCCTGCGTGTACGGGATGCACATACTCGGGCGTTAATGCGAGCTCTGTGTGTGTGTGTGTGTGTGTGTGTGTGTGTGTGTGTGTGTGTGTGTGTGTGTGTGTGTGTGTGTGTGTAGATCAGAGGCCAGCGTTGCGGAGTTAGCGCTCCTTTCCATGCTGTTGGCTCCGGAGATCACACTCTCGTTGTTAGGATCGCTCAGCAAACACCCCAGTCGCTGAGCTGTCTTCCCGGCCCCTAGAAGTTTTATAATTTTTCAGGACTAGTGTGGCCTGTGCACTCAGTGCATCTGAACTTGGTGTTCTAAGGGTGGTGTTGGGACTAGATTATAGTCTGCTACCCTGTCCAACACTCTTCCATATGTATTGTTTTTGTGATGCGAAAGAAATGTGAGGGGCAAGGACTGAAATAATACCCTTTTTGTTTCTTCTGACTTGAGGTGAAAAGTATGTATTTGAAGAAAAAAGGAACTGGGCCTGGTGGTCTGTTTGGAGAGAGAAAATTACCTATCTACAGAGCTGTCAGGAAATGGAAAAGGCCTTGAATCAGAGTTTTGAAAGGGAGACTTTTTTTTGTGGTCTGAACACAGCTGAAATATGCAGTGAACATTGTAGCAGACAATCGTTTTGGGAAAGGGTATTTTTAAAATTAAGAGTTCAATTTTGGACATGTTAAATTTTTCCTTTTTGGCCAGGTGGTGGTGGCACACAAAAGCCTTTAATCCCAGCACTTGGGAGGCAGAGGCAGGTGGATCTCTGTGAGTGAGTTCAAGGCCAGCCTGGTCCTCCAGAGTGAGTTCCAGGACAGCCAAAATGGTTTCACAGAGAAACCCTGTCTCAAAAAAAAAAAATAATAATTTTAAATTAAAATTACCTCATTTTCCCCCTTTCCTCCCTCCAGTTCTTGGGTATCATCCCTCCAAACCGTCCAGCGCTCTCCCCAGTTGATAGCCTTATATTATTATTAAACACGTATGCATGTATATGTGTGTATGCACAAATATATAAATACAGCCTGCCGTTAGACATGTTGAAGTTAGGAATGCCTATTAGGCATGTAAGGAGAGATGATTTTTAAGAAAATAATTGAGGGGCCTGTTGTGGTGGCTCACGCCTTTAATCCCAGTATTCAGGAGGCGGAGGCATATTAAAGCCATAGGAGCTATTATATAGTGAGACCCTGGCTCAAAGCAGGGAGAATGAAGGGAAAGTCAGATAGGAATAGGTTCAAGAGAATGGAAATATCAGCTAGGATAATACTCTTTCTTCGAAGATTGAACTCGAGTCTAATAAAACCCTTAGATGTAATTTCTATGCTAGGAAAACATGGGGGTTGGGAATACGTGAAAAACTTGAAATAAGCAAAAACAAAAAGCCCCATCAAGGGCCCACTTCTTTTTGTGGGCTTGGACTGGGCCTAAGAACCTAACTAATACACAAGACAATTCACAGAGAAGCTTCTAAAATTTACGTGGGGGCGGTCTTCATAGAGAGAATGAAATTCAAAGAAATGACCAAGGTATGATGCTTCTTAGAACAAAGGTCAGCAGACTTGTGAAGGGGGACCGAACAGGGTAATAAGTTCCAGGGTTGTTGCTCAGAGACCCACTGAGGTAGGGAGGTAGAGCTGCTGGAAGAGCTGTGTTCAGAAGTTGGAGCCCAGTGAGGAAGGCTGTCCTCTTGGGCTCTGTGTGTGAGTGGCATCTCAGGGCCTCGCCTGTGCTAGGCTGTCAAGCAAGTGCTTTCCGCTGAACTGTAGACTCCCAAGAGAGCCTTTGGTTTTTGGAGACCAGGTCTCAATAGATAGCCTTGTCCGGCCTGGCATTGCTAATGCCAGGGTAGCCAAGACCCTGCATTCCTCCTGCCTCTACCTCTCAAGTGATAGATTGTAGATGTGTGTCAAGAGATACCAACAGCACTTTTCAATCTTGTTGAATATAAGAGAAGGCAGACCAAATGTCCTGATCTGAATCATTGAGTGACTCGGCCTGAGGTAATCAGTTCACCAATATTATTTCTAATTGAGCAAATGAAGGCACACACAGTGACTACAGTTTTCAAATTGACTAGAGCTTGAAATAACCTGTTTTACAGTGTTGAAGAAATAACAGGACAGGATTAAAAGCATTTCTTAGCAGATGAAATTTGATGTAAGCCAGGAAGTCGTTGCCTTTAATCCTAACACTCGGGAGGCAGAGGCAGGCGGATCTCTGAGTTTAAGGCCAGCCTGGTCTACAGAGCAGCAAAGGCTACATGGAGAGAAACCCTGTCTGGAAAAAAAAATAAGGGGAAAAAAAATGATCCAAGACAACCAAAGAGTTTTTGGTAATATTTTGTCTAAAATGTTTTATGGACTGTTTGACACTCTCCTCCCCTTAGGGTCAGAGAAAGTGGTCCTGAGTGACCAGAGGAAGCAGCTCCTCCAGAAGTATAAAGAAGAAAAGCAGCTTCAAAAGCTGAAAGAGCAGCGAGAGAAAGCTAAGCGGGGAGTCTTCAAGGTGGGGCTCTACCGGCCTGCAGCGCCCGGCTTTCTCAGCACAGCCCGCAGCAGTGTCAAAGCTGAGCTGGAAAAGGTGTGTTTGTGACCGGGACTTAAAGCAGACGACTCCTTTAGCCCAGCAGCAAAACCAGTCGCTGCTTAACTTGGGGGAAAGTTTAAACTGAGACATGGAATAAACTTTTGACTATTGGTTTTTAATGGGTCTTTCTTTACTGTTTCAAGGCTTTTCCATACAATGGGCGTATTACAAGATCAAAGGCCAGAGACCACATGGAACACACTAAGGTATCATGGTGTAAAGATAACTGATAATAAAATAACATGTTGTACCGTTTTCCCCCTCAAAAATTTGTAATTCCACTTTCAACCTAAAATCGGTTACAAACATAGTGATTTATTTACCTGGATTGAAAGTGTGAAAATTAGTGGTGACTTAGAGCATCCTTTGCATAAGTGCCTCTTAATGTGGTCCATCCCAGACCTCATCTTTACGATGCTGTTCACTGTGCTGCTGCTATGCGTTGCAAACTAACTGCATGAAATGCGGATCAGAGTGAGAAAAGCAGAGTAGACTGAGACACATTTAAGGAAGTGAAGGAACCCCAAGAAAAAGCTTTCTGCCTAAGAGAAATGGAAATGTAAAATTCAGAGATGTGTTTTGCTGTTGTAATTTGTAGCTTTTTTTCTGCCCCCAGCCATGTTGGGAATCAGAGAGGCCAGGGGTCTGCCAGTGCAGGTTAGGCACACCCTACCCCGGATCAACTACCTAGACCATGATGTGTGAGACTCTCACCACTCATGGCTCCTCGTGAGACTGAAGCAGGGTTAGCTTGCCAGCCTAGGCAGCACAAGAAGGCCTCACCTCAAAGAAAGCCACAGCTAATGTTGTTAGTGTTCTCAGAGTTCTCAAGTGAGCACATGGCATGTGGCAGCATGCTTCCTGGCTGTTGTTTGGTTTTGTGGCTTTTGTTTGTTTAGGTTTGCTTTTTTGTTTGTCTGTCTTTGAGCTAGGGTTTCATGTAGCCCTGACTCATAAATCTCTCTATTGTTTGAGGCTGGTCTTGAACTACTGATTCTTTTGAGATCAACTTACAAGTTAAAAGTGTTTTGATTTATTATGCAGTTAAATAACAAAGTACCTAATTCTCTTCAAAGATCGACAGTAAGAATGTTCTTCAAGCAACACGATCTGGCCAAAGACAAACTTCTGAAAAGAAAATATTGGACAAAGAGAAAAAAGGTAGGAACATTAGCAGTGATGATGAACTTGGTGCCGCCAAAGGAACAATTTATGAATGACAAAACACATCCGATTGTTCTTCCCAGTTGTGCAGCCCGTGGTGTCATCAGGGAAAGTGACTGGATCAGCTGCTACCCAGAGGACAAAGCCGGTGGCCCGAACAGTCTCGTATGCCTTGAGAAAGCCAGTCACCAGAGTTGTTAATGGTAAGAGACTGTCCACATACACACACAGTAAGATACTTTGTAAGGAGCAAGAACAGCTCAAAAAAGCCAACCCTGAAATACAGTGTGTTAATAAACAAAAAATAGTGTAAACGGATGCTGAAGTGTCACCTTGGAAATGGAGTCATGGCTGTAGGTCCACACTGGATAGCTCCCTCAGCTACTCCTCCCCTTGCTCTCTGGGGTACAGTCTCTGACCCTGGAGCTTGCCCATTCAGCTAGACTGGCTGGTTGGTAAGCTCCGGGAGCCAGCGCTGGGGTCTAGACTCAGGGCTTACGTTATAGTAAGCTCTTTGCCAAGTGAACTCCTGCTCAGGACTGTCTTTTGTTGGTTTATTTTTCTTTTGTTCCCGAGGTTGATTTCTGTTTTATGTGTGTGGGTTTTACCTGCCTGTATGTCTATGTATCACATGTATGACTTGTGCCCACAGAGGCCAGAGGAGGTCATCTTCTCTCCTGGAATTGGAGTTGAGATGATGGTTAACTTCCACGAGGGGGCTGAGAGGAAGCAATGTTCTTAATTGCTGAGCGCTTTCTCTAGCTGCCAGTCTGGTTTCTTTTTTTTTTTTTTTTTTTTTTTGAGCAGGGTCTCACCAGTTAGCTGAGGCTAGCCTGTACTGCCGCTCCTGTGAAGTTACTAATTAGCTGAGGCTAGCCTGTACTGGTGATCTGTGAAATCACTAGTTAGCTGAGGCTAGCCTGTACTGGTGATCCTGTGAAGTTACAGGCTGCCCAGCTGTTCTGGTTAGTTGGTTGGTTTAGTGTTGGCGAAAGGATTTGTTGGTTCCGTTTTCTTTTTTCTTTTTTTTTTTGGTTGGGGTGGGGGTGTTTCGAGACAGGGTTTCTCTGTGGCTTTGGAGGCTGTCCTGGAACTAGCTCTTGTAGACCAGGCTGGCCTTGAACTCACAGAGATCCGCCTGCCTCTGGAGTGCTGGGACTAAAGGCATGTGGCACCACCACCCGGTTCCGGTTCCGTCTTCATTATAATCAGCATGGATTTGGTAATCAGGAAAAAAGAAAGGGGACATACCTTTATTTTGAAAAGCAGATGGTTTGTATTTGACAGAAAATTTCACTTGCTTTTCTCCCCTTTTATGATGTGTCTTGGTGATCATGAAAGTTGAAACGTATGTCCTATTTCTCCTTCAGACTTTACCAAGTGATCTAGAACTGTCATGTAGCACTGCTTATCTGTTTTAAAGTGGGTATCTCACGTCATTTTCTATTTTAGAGACTGAATCGGAAAGAGTGGGGCCGAGCAGAGGCAGACTTGCCCGGAAGGTGGATGCTAACCCTGACAAGGTAGAGAACCGGGGTCTGGTCTGCTGGTCTCCAAATGCCTTGACGTCTCGTCGGTTCCTGCACAGCTGAAGCGAAGCATGCAGACTTCTGAGGGCGAGCCTGCACACATGCTAAAGCCTAGGCGTGATGACCCGTCACAAGGGTTTACTGACACTGGGGTCTTAATCTAACCCTGAGCTTTTTAAGAAGGCATAATCTGATTAACAGAGAAAATGGAGAATAGAAAAACACAGCTGGGACAGTTTCACAAGAACTAGTTACGGGGTGAGATGTTTTGATTTTGGGATCAGCTAGAGCAGGTTCCAATTAACTGCATAATTAGAGTTTATCTTCCCAGTTCTAACAGAATTTCCTATACAGAGTTGTAGAGAATTCAGTAAGCTAGAGTTTCTAACAGCATCTGGTAATGAGGTCCTCAAAAAAACAGGACGTGGGCCTGCCAGATGGCGCAGCAGGTAAAGGTGCTTGCTGCCAAGCCTGGTGACCATAACTTAATCCCCAGAGCATACTCGGCGGGAGGAGAGGACTGACTTCTGACCGCCACACGTAGAAACTAAAAGACGGAAAAAATATTTTTTTCTTTTTTTTAATCATTTTTTATTTTAATTTTAAATAGCTTGTTTTACATGTCAATCCCAGTTCCCTCTCCCTCCCCTCTTCCCGCACTCCCCTTCCCCCCCCCCCACCCTATTGCCAAATCCTTCCACATAGGGGATATCTAGAGTCTGTCATTTTACTCTTGGTAGGGTCAAGGCACTCCCCTAAGAGTCCAGGCTGAGAGAGCATCTCTCTTTGTGCTATAGGCACATGAAGACAGTATGTATACCAGGGATAGACACTGATCCACAGCTCAGGGCCCCATAGGTTGCCCAGGCCTTCTCACTGACACTCACATTTGGGGGGTCCAGATCAGTCCCATGCTGGCCTCCCCACTGTCGGTCTGGGGTCCAAGAGCACTCCCCTGTTCAGATCAGCTGTCTCTGCTGGTTTTGCCAGCCCATTCTTTGCCAATTTGCTCAACACTCTCTCTCTGTCACTGGGTTCCTTGGGTTCAGTTCAGTGATTAGTTGTGTGTTTGCCTCTGCTTCCATCAGTCACAGGATGAAGGCTCCCGGATGGTTATAGACATCAAGTTCATTATCAGGAATGGGCATTCGAGGTGGTCCCTCCACTATTGCTTAGCTTGCCAAATGATGTTATACCTTTAGATCACTCGAGGTCACTCTGGTGCCTGATCTGTCTTCGATCCTATGATTCCCTCTTCCCCCTATTCTACCCCCACCCCCTCAGCTTCCTGTTCCCCCATGACCAACTCCCTTCCTCTTTACACCCTCTATTCTTCCCAGGTCCCACTCCCCCACCCTCGCCGTGTTCCCCATCCATTCAGAGGATCTTGTCTCCATCCTCTTCTCTTGGGTACTATGCATATATGCATATCTTTTAGGTTCTTTCCTGTTTCCCAGACTATCTATCTGTGGAAGTGCAGACTGGCACTATCCTGATCCATATCTAAAATCCATATATGAGTGAGTACATACCATGTTTGTCTTTTTGTGACTGGGTTACCTCACTCAGGATGGTTTCTTCCAGTGCTATCCATTTCCCTGCGAATTTCAAGATTCCATTGTTTTTTTCTGCTGAGTAATACTCCATTGTGTAAATGTACCACATTTTCTCTATCCACTCTTCAGTTGAGGGGCATCTAGGTTGCTTCCAGGTTCTGGCTATTACAAACAATGCTGCTATGAACATAGTGGAGCAGATGCCCTTGTTGTATGAACCTGCCTCATTTGGATAAATGCCTAAGAGTGGAATTGCTGGGTCTAGTGGTAGATTAATTCCCATTTTCCTGAGGAATCTCCATACTGATTTCCAAAGAGGCTGTATGAGTCGGCACTCCCACCAGCAGTGGAGGAGTGTTCCTCTCTCTCCACATCCTCTCCAGCATAAATTGTCTTCGGTGTTTTTGATTCTAGCCATTCTGACAGGAGTAAGATGGTATCTCAGAGTTGTTTTGATTTGCATTTCCCTGATGGCTAAGGATGTTGAGCACTTTCTTAAGTGTCTCTTGGCCATTTTAGCCTCCTCTACTGAGAATTCTCTATTTAGCTCTGTACCCCATCTTTCAAGTGGATCCTTTGTTGTTTTGGAGACTTGTTTCTTGAGTTTTTTGTAAATTTTGGAGATTAGCCCTCTGTCAGATGTAGGGTTAGTGAATATCTTTTCCCATTCTGTGGCCTGCCTTTTTGTCTTTTTGACTGTGTCCTTTGCCTTACAGAAGCTTTTTAGTTTCAGAAGGTCCCATTTGTTAATTGTCGATCTCAGTGCCTGTGTTATGTTTAGGAAGTGGTCTCCTGTACCAACTCGTTGCAGAGTATCTCCCACTTTCTCTTCTAAAAGTTTCAGTGTGGCTGGATGTATGTTGAGATCTTTGATCCATTTGGACTTAAGTTTTGTACAAGGCGATAAACATGGATCTATCTGCAGTCTTCTGCATACCAGTACCCAGTTATGCCAGCACCATTTGTTGAAGATGCTTTCTTTTTTCCACTGTACAGTTTTAGCTTCTTTGTCAAAAATCAGGTGTTCATAGGTGTGTGGGTTAAAATTAGGGCTTTCGATTCGGTTCCATTGGTCTACCTGCCTATTTTTGTGCCAATACCAAGCTGTTTTCAGGACTATAGCTCTATAATAGAGCTTGAAGTCAGGTATGGTGATGCCTCCTGAAGTTCCTTTATTGTATAGGGATGTTTTGGCTATCCTGGGCCTTTTGTTTTTCCATATAAAGTTGATTAATGTTCTTTCCAGGTCCTTGAAGAATTGTGATGGAATTTTGATAGGGATTGCATTGAATCTGTAGACTGCTTTTGGCAAGATTGCCATTTTTATTATGTTGATCCTACCAATCCAAGAGCATGGGAGATCTTTCCATTTTCTGGTATCTTCTTTGATTTCTTTCTTCAAAGACACAAAGTTCTTGATATACAGGTCCTTCACTTCCTTGGTTAACATTATCCCCAGATATTTGATGCTGTTTTTGGCTATTGTAAAAGGTGATGTTTCTCTGATTTCTTTCTCAGTCACTTCATCTTCTGTATATAATAGGGCCACTGATTTTTTTTTGAGTTTACCTTGTATCCTGCCACATTGCTGAAGGTGTTTATCAGCTCTAGGAGTAACCTTGCGGAGTTTTTTGGGTCACTTATGTAAACTATAATATCATCTGCAAATAGTGAAAGCTTGACTTCTTCTTTTCCTATTTGTATCCCCTTTATCTCCTTTTGTTGTCTTATTGCTGTATCTAGAACTTCAAGTACAATATTGAAGAGATATGGAGAGAGTGGACAGCCTTGTCTTGTTCCTGATTTTAGAGGAATTGCTTTGAGTTTCTCTCCATTTAGTTTGATGTTAGCTGTTGGTTTACTGTATATTGCTTTTATTATATTCAGGTACGTTCCTGTTATCCCTGATCTCTCTAGGACCTTTATCATGAAGGGGTGCTGGATTTTGTCAAAGGCTTTTTCAGCATCTAGTGAGATGATCATGTGGTTTTTCTTTCGCAGATTGTTAATATGGTGGATTACACTGATAGATTTTCTAATGTTGAACCATCCCTGCATTCCTGGAATGAAGCCTACTTGATCATTGTGGATGATTTTTCTGATGTGTTCTTGAATCCGGTTTGCAAGTATTTTATTGAGTATTTTTGCATCAATGTTCATGAGGGAAATTGGTCTATAGTTCTCTTTCTTAGTTGTGTCTTTGTGTGGCTTGGGTATCAAGGTAATTGTAGCCTCGTAGAAAGAGTTTGGCAGTGAGCCTCCTGCTTCTATTGTGTGGAATACTTTGACGAGTATTGGAATGAGCTCTTCTTTGAATTTCTGGTAGAATTCTGCACTGAAGCCATCTGGGCCTGGGCTTTTTTGTTTGGGAGACTTTTGATGACTGCTTCTATTTCATTAGGGGTTATAGGTCTGTTTAGATTATTTATCTGTTCTTGATTTAGTTTTGGCAAGTGATATCTATCCAGGAAATTGTCCATTTCCTTTAAATTTTCAAATTTTGTGGAGTACAGATTTTCAAAGTATGCCCTGATGATTCTCTTGATTTCCTCAGAGTCCGTTGTTATGTCCCCTTTTTCATCCCTGATTTTGTTAATTAGCATGTTCTCTCTCTGTCTTTTGGTTAGTTTGGACAGAGGTTTGTCTATTTTGTTGATTTTTCTCGAAGAACCAACTCTTTGTTTCATTGATTCTTCTCAGTGTTTTCCTGGTTTCTACATGATTGATTTCAGCCCTCAATTTGATTATTTCCTGGCGTCTGCTCCTCCTGGGGGAGTTTGCTTCTTTTTGTTCTAGAACATTCAGCTGTGCTATTAATTCTCTAGTATGACTGTTCTCCAGTTTTTTCATGTGGGCACTTATTGCTATAAACTTTCCTCTCAGCACTGCTTTCAAAGTGTCCCATAAGTTTGTGTATGTTGTGTCTTCATTCTCATTGAAATCGAGGAAGTCTTTAATTTCTTTTTTATTTGTTCCTTTACCCAGGGATGGTGCAATTGTGCATTGTTCAATCTCCATGAGTTTGTAGGGTTTCTGCGATTTGTGTTATTGTTGAATTCTCAGGTTTGGCTTCTTCACGGTGTCCCATATTTCCTGGATATTTTGTGTTAAGGATTTGTTGGTTTTGAGATTTTCTTTGGTTGACGACTCTATATCCTCTAATGAGTCTTCAACACCTGAGATTCTCTCTTCTATCTCTTGTATTCTATTGGTGATACTTAGTTCCAGACCGTTTACCGAGCTTTTCTATTTCCAGCATCCCTTCATTCTGTGTTTTCTTTATCGTTTCTATTTCAGCTTTCAATCCTTCAACTGTTTGAGCTGTTTCCTTAATTTTCTTGGTTGTTTTTTCTTGGTGCTCTTTAGATTCTTCGAGAGATTTGTTTATTTCTTGAATTTTTTCCCCCATTTCATGGATTTTTTTGTTTGTTTTTTCTTCTATTTCTTTAAGGGATTTCCTCATTTCTTCTTTGAGGGTCTCCATCATCTTCATGAAATAATTTTTAAGGTCTGTCTCCTCTTCATCTATGTAGTGCTTTTCGGGTCTTGCTGGTGTTGGATCCCTGGATTCTGGTGGGGTCATGTTGGTGTTTCTATTGCTGAGTGATCTCTTATTCTGTCTTCTTCCCATCTCTTCTTCCAGTGGGTGCTGGTGAGGTCTTTCCGTCTCCACTGGTCTCCTTCCTTACTGCAGCTGAAGCTGGGGATGCTGAAGCTGGACTCACTGGGGTTGGGGTCTTGGAGGGGCTGATCTCTTTCCTGAAGCTGGACTCCCTGGGGTTGGGTCTTGGAGGGGCTGATGTCTTTCCTGAAGCTGGGCTTGCTGGGTTGGGGTCTTGGAGGGGCTGATCTCTTTCCTGTGTGGGCGGGTCTTCTGGATGCCCCGGAAAAAATATTTTTAAGGAACTATTTTGAGTTCCTAGTCTCTCAGCCTACAATGCAACCTTAACCTTTAAAAAAACATCAACAAACTCACGCTCAGGAGTAAGAAACCTGCCTAGAGCCTTACTGATGTCGGTACAAATCCTCCATAGAGGTCTGGAGGTGTGTCCCTTAGTCTACATAAAACCTGGGTCAACTGCTGGATCCAAAGAGAAGAGTTCTATGGACCGTGTAATCCTTCAATGTTGGACGGAGGGAGTAGCTGGGCATGAGGCACGGCCAGCTTGAGTGAGCTCATGGCAGCTGGTGGCTTTCTCAGGGCGGAACTGGGACCCTCGTGGGATGATTTGCCCCTGTCATGTCGTTAATGTTCACTGCATGTTGGGTTCCAAAATATAAGTGGAGTTCCTCATTGGTCTAAGTCATAAAAACCCTGAGTAAGATACTGAGGATAATGCTGAGAGATCAGAGAGAAAGAGCAAGGGAGGGAGGGAGGGAGGGAGGGAGGGAAGGAGAGAGAGAGAGAGAGAGAGAGAGAGAGAGAGAGAGAGAGAGAGAGAGAGAGAGAGAGAGAGAGAGAGAGAGAGCGCGCTATGGTTAGCTAGTGGTAGACTATTCTCTGACCTTCAGACAGGTTTTATTTGTACAAGCAAGAGATCACCACAGGGAATGGAGAGTGAATCTTTTTTAAGCCAGCTGGGCTTAAAGGGAGAGTTACTAAGATTGACTTTGTGGGGCCATCGAGATGGCTCAGTGGGTAAAAAAGCTCTTGTCAAACCTGATGACCTGATTTTGACTCCTGGGTCCTATGAGGTAGAACCAACACCTGGTGTCCTAACCCCACCCATGCCACGGTGTGAACACCCCAAACAAATACACATATAGTAAAAAAAGTATTTTTCCTCTGAATGTTATTAGTTTTTACTTTCCCTGACACGTTGGCTTTGAGATTCTTATCCAGGTTGAGTTTGAATTCAGATTTCAATAAATCAAAAGCTTCTTTTAAATATCTAAATACAAGTAACAACTAAACAGAGCCATTGCTCTGACCCCTACAGTCCCAGGTTTATTTATATATATATATTACAGAGGGTGTGGTCTTTTAGAATAGGAGTCATTCAATAAATACTAGGTTTTTCACTCTAAAAGCCTTGCAGTAACCCATGTAATTTTGATAAAAGTGTATTTTGGGACTGGAGAGATGGCTCAGAGGTTAAGAGGTCCTGAGTTAATTCCCAACAACCACATGGCAGCTTACAACCATCTATAGTAAGATCTAGTGCCCTCTTCTGGCTTACAGGCGTACATGGAAGCAGAAGACTGTATGTATAATAAATAAATAAGTAAATAAATAAATATTTTTTAGTGTATTTTGTTAGTTGGGTTTTCACATTTTAGTTTTAATATATCTTAATTGAGTGTATCTATTTTTGTCTTTTTTTTTCAAGACAGGGTTTCTCTGTATTGTTTTGGAGGCTGTCCTGGAACTCACAGAGATCCGCCTGCCTCTGCCTCCCGAGTGCTGGGATTAAAGGCGTGCGCCACCAATGCCTGGCCTATTTTTTTCTCTTGCTATGATAAATACCTGACCAAAGCAACCTCTGGAGGAGAAGGTTCACTGTGGCTCATAGTTCAAGGGCGGAGTCCTTCATAGTTCACTCTGGCTCATGGTTCAAGGGTGGAGTCCTTCACGTGGGATCTTGAGGCAGTTGGCCCCATGCCAGCAGCAGCCAGGAAACAGCAATGTATGCCTGGGCTCAGCTCTACTTCCGCTTTAGATCAAGTTGACCAGAATGATGCTGTCCACAGTTAGGCTGAGTCTTCCTACCTTATTTATCAAACATTGCTCACAGGTGTGGCCAGAAGTTGAATCTTGTTGGATTCCGGTCAGGACAAGCCATCACATTGTCAAACGTGTTTGTTGCTGCTGCTGTTACTCGTGCGTTTCTGGGTTAATGATTGGGTGCATTCCTGGCAGAGAAATTCCACTCTGTTCTGCTTATACCTAGGTCGTTCCCTCTAAAGCTGACGGCGAAGAAGCTAGTGTGACAAGTGGAGTGCATCTGGGTGGCGTCTTCCCAGCGATGGAGAGCTTGCCTGAGACCGCGCCTGCGAAACCGAAAGAAAGGAAGTCTTTTGCCCCTTTGCATTGTGTGTTTCAGCCACCGAGTGGTCTGAAAACCTACCAAGTGGCATCCGTGAGTCATAGAAGTGACAGCACTTTCCTGATGCCCAGTTGTGACCAGGACCTTTTAAAACCAGAAGTGTAAGATATAATCTTTAAACACACACAAATACTAATACACAAATAATCTTAGTAATAAGCACTTACTAAAAGGAGTAACAAATGCCCGTCTTACATTTCTTTCTGTACTATTTTTTGTTAGTAAAGTATGCTAACTATGAATTATACAGAATAAGTTCTTTTGAGAAAAGTTCTTCAGAAGCCTACGATGTCTTTGATAGTTTTGATATTTTCTGTGAATTGTCTTCACCATAAATATGTTAGTTTTTGCTTTTAAATAGGTGGCTTAATTATAACCCTTAAATAATAATTTCTTTGGTAAAGATTTTTATGAGCATGAGTGTTTTGCATTCATGTATGCACTGACTCTAGTGGCAGGAATCCCCTGAGATTGGACTGACAGGTGTTGTGACCAGCTGTGTTGGTTCCAGGAACTGAACTCACTCTCTTCTAGAGCTGCAAGTGCTTGTAGCCCGAGCCCTTTCTCAAGCCCCTTAGGTTTCTGGGATAGCAGCTCGCTTTGTAGCCTCCGCAGCCTCGGCCTCCTAAGTGCTGGGATCATAAGCATGTATCACCACACCTGGCTTGAAATAACTTCTTGTACAAAAGGAAAATCGACACATCTTTAAATCAGCCCTGCCTGCTTTTTTTCTTTTTTCTTTTTGGAAATTATTTTATGATTTTTAGTCATGTGTATCCCCCCTCCACCATGAACCATATGTGTAGCCCTTGCCTTCCTTGTCTTCCTTCTCAAAAAAACAAAAACAAAAAAATCACCTCTAGTAACAGAAAATAATTTGTGAATGAAGCAGTGGAGTCTTCAGAGGGAAAGGTAGGATTGCAATGCTGCCTTGTCAACACTAGGTGGCCTCACATTATTAGAAATCACTGCGGTCCACTAAGAGTTTCAACATCTTTGAATCCTACTGCAATTAGTTTAATAAAGATCCCTGTTCTCACTGTTGGTTTAAAATTTTCCTGCCCAGAATAAGCATCTTTAAAGATACAAATCAAGGCTGGCTAGTATATGCCTACACCCATCCAACTGGTAAACCTGAAGAGGGTGATTGTGAGTCTGAGGCCAGTTTCCATTTCAGAGCAAGATATCATGTCAAAAAACCAAACAGAACTCCCAAATAGTGGCTTTTGATCCCAACTTCCATGATACCAGACTTCAGTAGCCCAACCCCCATCCCAATGCTGGGATTAAGGGCAAGTATCAGCATGCCTGGAATAGAAATTTATCCAATAAAAGCAACTCTGTGAGTTATGTGATGAGGCCTACTCTCAAACAAAAAACATTTCCACTTTATCTTTTTTTTTTATTTGAAAGCAATACAACTTACAGATCCTTCTGTTATATATATGTGGACTTCATTTTCCTGATGTATAATTTTGCTGTTATTTTTAACAGTACAACTCAAGATGCAGCAAATGAAATCTTCGTACAGAAATCTATAACTTGTTCTACCAACACAGCGCAGCAAGAATCAAATAAATTACGGGAGGATTTGGATTCTCCAGCAATCTATAGTGAAGGTACCGTGTTTTAATTAAGATGTCACTTCTCTGGCTTATGACCTTGGAGAACTTCCTATAGAGCTCATTTCCCCGTGTGCTTCAGAGATATGGCCAGGGCCCGGATAAAGTGGAGGAGGAGCTGGGGAGATGACTCAGCCCTAAGCTCTGGAGCCTAAGGGCGGAGCTGGGGACATGGCAGTTGGCCTGTTCTAGGCCCTGGAGAGACCATTTCAGAAAGTGCTTGAAGAGTGACACTTGAGAATGACCTCTGACCTCCACATGCATGGACACACAAACACTGGCAACCATAGTAGAAGAGATGGGAATGAAATGCCTAAGGCTGGAAATAAATTAAAAGTTCAACATTTGAATGAAGGATTTTAAAAGACATCTTGCCAGGTAGTGGTGGTGCATGGAATCCCAGCGCCTAAGGCTGGAAATAAAAGCTCAACATTTGAATGAAGGATTTTAAAAGACACCTTGCTAGGCAGTGGTGGCGCATGGAATCCCAGCGCTTGGGAGGCAGAGGCAGGTGAATCTGTGATTTTGACACCAGCCTGGTCTACAGAGCCAGTGCCAGGACAGACTCTAAAGCTACAAAGAGAATCCCTGTCTCGAAAAACCAAACCAAAACAAAGACTTGTGAGGACTTTCATTTTAGGAATTGTTCTTCAAATTGATGAGTAGTGTTTTCTTTTGTCATAGAAGTTGGCTCAAAGCTAAAGGAAGTGTCTGCTACAAATTCCAGTTGCCTTTCCGGGGAAGGATTGGCAGCGCTTGAAGTAGGCGAAGGCCAGGAGTCGCAGCCACAGCACGATGTGCCGTATTTCAGGTTTGTCTGCTAGTGCCGTGGGAGTTTGCATGTGTATCTAGGTGTTAAACCCCAGGTTAGGGTGTTAATGTTTAATCGTAAATATTCAGTATGGTGAATGGGGGGGGAGCTGGCTTTGGGTGGTTTTCATTTTGCAGTTGTAACTCTTGCAATAGCCAGGGCATACTAAGGTTTCTGTCCCAAGGATAGGCAGGGTTAAGAAAGAGTGGCTTTCCCAGCCGCGTAGTCTGCCCCTTCCATGCAGGTGTTAATTTTTTGTGAATGGTTTGAGAGGTAAATAGTGAATTTGAGAACAAATACAGGCCTTTTGTCTTTTTAAAATATAAAGATCTTGTACAGTATCTTGTTTTGGTTTCATTTAGTGGTAAATGTTGGTGACATTCTTTTAGCACCTGAAGAACTCTCTTATATGTGGGTGCATTAATACTCAATTGTCCTGCTCTATCACGGTCTATTTAGTCAGATTCAGTTGGGGGGGGGGGGTTGATCTATAGTGTTAGAATTTTTTTCCTTTTTTTGAGTTCTAATCTCAGTGTGTAGTCCTAATTGGCATGGGCCTCACTTTGTAGACCAGACTCCTGTGCAGTCCTCAGACCCATGCCTAACAAGTGCTGAGACTACAGACACCAGCCCCGTGCCCCGTTTTCCTTTCTCAAGGTTGAATAGTGTGGAGTGGGGATGTCTGGAGACAGAGAGCTCAGGCTCTAAGTGTACAGAGGAGTTTCCAGCACCCACGTGGCCGCTCACAACCAGCTGTCACTCCAGCTCCAGGGAATCCAGTACCCTCTTCTGTCCTCCAGGGGACACTGTGCACACAAGGGGCACTTACATACATGTAGGCAAAACCCTTACACACTTAGAAGTAAATAAATCTTTATTGTGTATACAGTCTTCTGCCTGTGTGCAAGCGGAGGGCACCAGATCTCATTCAAGGTGGTTGTGAGCCACCATGTGGTTGCCGGGAATTGAAGTCAGGACCTCTGGAAGAACAGTCAGTGCTCTTAACCGCTGAGCCATTTCTCCAGCCCCAGTAAATAAATCTTTAAAAAAAAGAAAGACAGACAATCTAATAGTAAGATTTTGTTAAGTCCTTTTGCCTTGTGGAGTGGGGTTTTGTTTGTTTCTGTTCCTGTCTTCTCAGACAGGGTCTTGCTTTGTGGCCTTGGCTGGCTGGACTCACAGTGTGGACCATGCTGGCTTCCACTTGAACTGCTCTTCCTGCCTCTGCCTCCTTAGTAGGACAGCAGCTGTGCATCGCTGCACCTCAGTGAAGGCCCCAGCTTTAACCATAGACTCTGCAGGTTTCATCCACAGCTTGCCTTTGCAGTCCTTAGCTCTGTAAGACTGTCTGAGTGTGTGTTACACACCTGGCGGTGCCTTAGCTCTGTAAGACTGAGTGTGTGTCACACACCAGGCAGTGCCTTAGCTCTGTAAGACTGAGTGTGTGTTACACACCAGGTGGTGCCTTAGCTCTGTAAGACTGTCTGAGTGTGTGTTACACACCAGGCGGTGCCTTAGCTCTGTAAGACTGAGTGTGTGTTACACACCAGGTGGTGCCTTAGCTCTGTAAGCCTGTCTGAGTGTGTGTCACACACCAGGCGGTGCCTTAGCTCTGTAAGCCTGTCTGAGTGTGTGTCACACACCAGGCGGTGCCTTAGCTCTGTAAGCCTGTCTGAGTGTGCGTTACACACCAGGCGGTGCCTTAGCTCTGTAAGACTGAGTGTGTGTTACACACCAGGCGGTGTTGGACTCAGCCACTGAACAGAGGTTAGAACAAAACAGAAATGTCAGCTTAAAAAGTGGGTCTTGGCATTATCCATCCAATGTAAATTTTAGGTACAGAAGAATGGACTTACACAAGGTATATGATAATAGGAAATTAGTCTTTTGTAAGTTTTAGTATATTATAGTTCATTAAACCCTTACACATGAAATCTTCAAAATGACTATTTTGCCTATTTTATTTAATGTTTTGTACCTTTGTTTTAACCATCCTAGTCTTGTGTATTAAAGTGTCATAACGGTAAGGCGGGACTAACTAAAATGGATGTCACAATTTTAGAAAAATCCTCCAGTCAGAAACTGACAAGTTAACTTCGCACTGCCTAGAGTGGGACAGGAAACTGGAACTGGACATTCCTGATGATGGTAAGCAAAGACATTCTTAGTTTTGTTTCCCTTTGTTGTTGGCTTTTTATCGTTTTGTGTTTTTTTTAAAGATTTATTTATTTATTACATATGCAGTGTTCTGCCTACATACCAGGAGAGGGCGCCAGACTGAATTGTAGATGGCTGTGAGCCACCATGTGGGTGCCGGGAATTGAACTCGGGACCTCTGGAGGAGCAGGCAGTGCTCTTACCCTCTGAGCCACCTCTCCAGCCCTCGTTTTGTGTTTTAGAGAGGCTCTCCTAGCACAGGCTGGCCTAGAGCTCACTCCATAGGCGAAGGCGAACTTGAACCTGGTCGTCTTGTCCCACCCCAAGGGCTGGGCGTACGGGTGTGTCCAAACACCTGACAATAAACGGCTAGTTGTGTATTGTTTTCTTTTGTTTGTAGTAGTAGAGCCTGAACCCAGATCTCTTGTGCTAAGAAAGTGCTTGGCCAGTGAGCTACATCCATAACCCTTATTTCTTTTAATGTTGCATTCGTTTCAAAACTAAAACTCAAGTATTCAACTCTGTAGTTTCAGGGTTACTCAAAGTACCAAGAGTTGTTCAACATATGTCCTCTAATATCTCTGTGCTAAAGAAGTGTGCAACTTTTGTGTATTTTGTTTTTTTAATATGACCTTGTATATAGTGGTGTTAATATGGTATTTCTTCATTATACAAATACATGTTCTGAATTATAATTATCTGAGTCAGCATGAGAACGAATTTTAGCAAAAGTTCGTAGTTCTACTTATTTGAAGAAGTTATTTAAAGTTACCAGTATGAGGTCCTGAGATACATAACATACCTAGACTTGTTTGAGGTTGAATTCTCATAAAATACAGGAGAAAAGGAATGGTGTTCATTGTGAAGCCATGTGTGGTTGACGATGAGCGCTGATACTTGTTACTGGTAACTGAAGCAAGGAGCTGGTATTTGTGGCAAAGTGTTTGGGACGGTTGTTTCTTGTTTCTCTGTGAGAATTTCTCAGTTGGCCGGCTGGCTGGCTATAAGGCCCGTTTTCATTTCTTTTCTTTAGCCAAAGACCTTATTCGCACAGCAGTTGGTCAAACAAGACTCCTTATTAAGGAAAGATTCAAACAGTTTGAGGGACTGGTGGACAACTGTGAGTACAAGAGAGGAGAAAAGGAGACCACGTGCTCAGATCTGGATGGATTTTGGGATATGGTTAGTTTTCAGGTACGTGTCAGGTGCCTACATTTGCTTCTAACAACAGTAAAATGGGGTAATAGTAGTTGGCTGCTTATGATGGAATGAGTGAGCTCTCAGGAGATTCCATGTAGGCTGCGCTGTCTTCTCCACCGTGTTGTTAGTAGTCTGGTAATTGTACGTGTGAGCCCTGAACCAGTGCAGTTACTGAATTCAGTTGTGTGCCAGGCATTGCTTTTAGAAATGATACCAAAAAAAAAAGGCACAGAAAGAGCTGGCCGTGGTGGCACACACCTTTAATCCCAGCAGAGGCAGGTGGATCTCTGAGTTCGAGGCCAGCCTAGTCTACAGTTCTGGGACAGCCTGGGCTACATAAAGAAACCCTGCTTTCTCAAGACAAACCAGGAGAAGTGAATGGTTTCCTTAGCAGCTCTTAGATGCAGCATGACGTTGTAACGTAAGCCTAGTGTGGATGGAGGCAATGGCGAGGAGGCTGTGCTTGGGGGAGAACATCTTCTACCCTGCTGAGTTGGTTTCAGAAATGAGCCTGTGAGGAGCTGGAGAGATGGACCCGCAGGCCTGGGATTCTGTTCCCAGCACCTACATCAGGCAGCTCACAACTGCCTGCCTGTAGCTCTGGCTTCAAGGGATCTGACTCCCTCTGCTGGCCACCCAATGTATACTTCAGCACACACACATAACATAGACATGTAATAAAATCAGTCTTTTTGTTTGCTTTATTTTGTTTGAGATGAAGTTTCTCCTTGTACCTTTGGCTGTCCAGGCCAACCTGGAACTCACAGAATCTGCCTGCCTCTGTGTCCCGGGTGCTGGGATTAAAGGCATGCGCCACCACTGCCCAACTAAAATAATTAAAGAAGGAAAAAGAAGCAAACAGATCAGCTAGCTATGTGTGGTGGCATACACTTTAATCTCATCACTCTGGGAACTATTTCTAAAGAATTTGCATTCAGCATTCTAGAAGATTTAAACTGTGCAGAAGGATATACATAGGTTATGTGCAAATACCTGGACATTTTACATAAGGGGTTTTACAAAGTCTCTGGTATATGTGGTGCTAAGGACTAAACTGGGCCTTTCCCCATGCCAGGCAAGCATTTGGTCATTAAGGTATACCTTCTTCCTTATCTCTGGATTTGGACTTATAGCATTTATTCCCCTGCCACCTTCTCCCCCTTAATTTTTCTTTTTGAGAAAGAAAGCATGAAATGAACAACAGAATTTAGAATGTTGGAAAAAGACATGAACAGATGTCTTAGCACAGAATAAAAACAGATGGTGATTAATGAAATGGGGAGCTTACTCCATGATGTCAGCATCATATGCCATCAGGCAATTAGCAACTAAAGCAATAAGGTAACAGCTAACCAGACACTCCAAAATACTGACAGTGAATGCTAGTGACCAAGCAACAGGACATGGGTAGCAGGAACTCTGTCATTGCTGGTAACAATGCCGATGCCAAGTCCAGGCTAGAAGACAGTTCAGGGTTCCTGGCAAAACTAAACACACGATGACTCTGGTCCCAAAGTCACCGTCCTGAGCTTGTATCCACATATGGTTTGTGTGCAGTACTAAGAGCAACACTGTTTGTATTTGCCAACATCAGGGAAAAAACAAGATGTACCTTAGTTGTGTGATTGATAACTGTTTTTAAAAGGATTCTGTTTGTATTATGTACTGAGGAAACAATGGTAGCAAGACTATTTTTTCTACTGCCATAGTGATCAAGAACAGTCTGGGAGAGCTGTTCATATATAACATGCTTTCTGTAGGCTTTAAAGGGGTCTTGATTTGAACACGGTGAGTTAAGCTGGATAACCCCTGCATTTGGGAGGTAGAGGCAAGAGCGTCTGGAGTTCAAGTATGTCCTGGACTGTGCAGGAAGATGTCTGGATTAACATAAGACTGCCCCCGCTCCCACACACATACACCACACACACAGGATTTTTTAATAATTTTATTGTATGTCCATTGATATAAAGGTATCAGATCCCATGGAGCTGGAGTTACAGACAGTTGTGAGCTGCTGTGTGGGTGCTGGGAATTGAATCCAGGTCCTCTGGAAGAACAGAGCCATTTCTCCAATCCCACACACAGGATTTTAACTTTAATAACTAACCGGTTCTGAGTCACTATTTTCAGTTTATTTAACAGTTATTTTATAGTCATAAAGTAGCAATTTTAACAGTCTTAATGGGATGAGCTTGTGTTTTTATTAACAGGTAGATGATGTAAACCAAAAATTCAGCAACCTGATCAAACTTGAGGAAGCTGGATGGAAAAGCAGTCATAATCCAAGCAAAACAGTCCTCCGGGTAGGTTTGTGCACTTTCTACCCAAATTTCTAGCATAGATTCTTCTCTGATTTTTGGTTTTAGAAATACTTTTATTTATGTGGGTGGGTGGGGGGGTCCAGTTGTGCCATGGAGTACATATGAAGGTCAGAGGACCACTTAGACCAGGCTGGTCTTGAACTCACAGAGTCTGCCTGCCTCTGCCTTCTGAGTGCTGGGATTAAAGGTGTGTGCCACCACTGCCCGACAAGTTCTTTTACCATACAAGTCTTGAAAATACTTAACTTTGGGTTTCTTGTTTCACAAAATAAATTTCATATATTGCTTATTGCATTCTGATTGCATTCTGAAGTGTAAGATGTTTACTTCTAAAGAGAGGAAAATAAGAGATGTGTGATTGAATTGGGGTGCCTGGGTGGCTTTTATGTTCCTAGATAGTGGGTAGAAGGGCATGCACCTACGTTGACACATGTGCACCATATGTGCACACGTGTGATCCAGCTCACACTTGTGATACCAGCCCTTGGGCTGAGGCAGAATGATTTCCATGAGTTCAAGGCCAAACATGGTCTATGTAGCAAGTTTCAAGACAGCTTCATAGCATGACTGCGTCTTACAAAAAAAACAAAAAACAAAAAACAGAACAGAACTCTTATATTTCTAGATTTCTTTGTAATTGCAATAGCAGTAGATAATTCATGTTTTGTTTATGCTAAATTCCAAGTAGGTCCATGTTGAGCTTTATAGCAGTCCATTTAGAGGGTGCTGTATCCACAATTTATGGTTGAAAAATCCAAGCCTCCAATAGTAGTGCTGGGTTTCATTCGAGGCTTTCATATTCCACAGTTCATGCTCTTACCGGGCAGACCACACCCCCTCACTGTTTACGTGCTCTCTGTGGATGCTGTAGAATGATAAGGTTTTACGTATCTCTTCTTCATGTGCTTATAAGGTTTTCTGTCTTCCTGTTAAACATGCTTTATTAATCTAGTAAGAGTACTTGTTGCTCTTCTACACACTCAGGGTATCATGTAAGAGTTGTAATTCTGCCTGTGGCCACCGGATGTCGCTCTCCTACTTTGTTTTAGGCTATAGCTTGGTTGTTTGGGGAGACTTTTCTAATCCTGGGATCATCCCAAGGCAGTGTGTATCCTAGGCAAGTGCTTTATGTGTCAGCTGCTGTTTCATATAAAACTGACCTTTTACCTATACTGTGATGACACACCTTTAACTCTTACACATTTCTCTCAGTCATTTTTTCTCTTACTCCGTTTTTTTTTTTTTTTTTTTTTTTTTTTGGTTTTACGAGACAGGGTTTCTCTGTATTGTTTTGGAGGCTGTCGGTCCAGCCCAGCCTCGAACTCACAGAGATCCGCCTGCCTCTGCCTCCCGAGTGCTGGGATTAAAGGCGTGCGCCACCACCGCCCGGCTTCTTACTCCGTTTTTAATTCAGTATCTAACCTTGATTACACTGAAACCAAGCAGCTTGCCTGTTTACTCCATACCGTCTTATTGTGTGTCCCACCCCCCTCAGCTCTTCTCAGTCACAAATCCTGAAAAGCAAAATCTCAAATTCTGCACGTCACTGTCCCCGGTCATCAGGTGTGTGCCCTGTAGTTCTGTGGGTTTTGTTGAGACCAGCTCTCTAGTCCACACTAGGTGGTGCTCTTCCTTTAGCCTCCTAAATGCTCAGATTAGGATGCCAGTCACTACTGCTGGGTTCCTGCTTCAGTATTCTCTCTCCGTGAATATTTCACGTGTGTGTGTGTGTGTGTGTGTGTGTGTGTGTGTGTGTGTGTGTGTGTGTGCGCGCGCGCGCGCGTGCGCGCCCTGTGCGTACCTATGAGATTCCCTGGGACTCAGGTTACGGATGGTCGTGAGCTCTCCTGTGAGTGCTGGGAAATCAAACAAACGATCTTACCCGCCGAGCCACGTCTCTAGCTCATTCTTGCATTTTTCTACTGTACGTACTTCTTCCTGTCCACATCCAGTAGACTTTTAAGTCCTCTCAAGTCCAGGCAGTGGGACCTGGAAGAATGGAGTCGATAAATGAATCAGATTAAAGTCTCATGCAATAGCCAAGTAGCCAACACTATTCAGAACCTTCAACAGTTTATTCCCTAAGGGTTACACGTGGTTGCCTGAGTAAAACTCTCATGAGTTTAAATTGTATGCAGTCCCAATGACAAGCTGCATATGGCAAAAACATGTTTTCTGTAGAGATGTATAAAGGACAGTTTAAAAATTTAATCAAATAGCAACAGCAAGCAGTCAGGAAGAATCTGAAGTGAACTCACTCCCGTCAGCTGGAGCATGGAAACAGCACCAGGACAATTCCATGTTCTGAAGAAACTGAGGTTCACTTGGGATTTTCCCCACTCCATTCCTGGACTGTACTCTGACAGTTTACTTCTGGTTGTTTGTTTTATTTTTAGACAGGGAAGTTCTAGCCCATCTGCACTTCATAGTGAGGTTCTTAACCACAATAAAAATTGAACTGTTTTTGTGGATTTTCTACAAGGTGTCTTAGTGAAGAGACACCACAAATAACTAAGGAACCCACATAAAAGAGCATCTGATGGGGGCGGCTTACACTTTTAGGTTAGTCACGGTCATCACGAGGGAAGCGGATGGGCACGGTGCTGGAGCAGTAGCTGAGAGCTGTGTGTCACAGACAGCAGGAAGAGAAAGAGGGCCTGGTGTGGGTTTATGAAACCTCCAAGTCCCCCACCCCAGTGACATACCTCCTCCAGCAAAGTCACACCTAACTCTGCCCAAATAGTTCCAGTAGCTGGGCATCAGTCATTCGAATGCTTGAGCCTATGGTGATCGTTGTCATTCATACCACACAAGGTGATACTTAGTGGGTGTGGTGCTGCCTGTCGCTAGTCTCATCTGGTCCTGAGGTTGAGGCAGGTGTGCTTGAAGGCGAGCTGGGACAGCTGTGTCTCAGAGTGAGTTATAAGGGCTAATGCCTTACTTCACTGGAGGAAAGATCTCCCGTGTACAGGGCTCTGGGTTCAGTCCTCAGAACCAAAGGAACCGGGAGAGGATGGTAACGTCACCTTCAGTTACTGCTGTCTCTTTGCAGAAAAAGGCTGTGCCTGGTCGATCAGACAAAACAAAACAGGACGACGATGGGAGAATGGCGGCTAGAAACCGTCTGGCTGCCATAAAAAACGCAGTGAAGCAGAGGCTGAAGCAGGAGCAGTGTGCCCAAGCGGCAACCGCGGAAACGCCAAAGGAGGTGGAGAAAATAGTGTTTGATGCTGGCTTTTTCCGCATCGAGAGTCCCGTTAAATCGTTGTCAGGTTCGTGTTTGTGCAGAGGCTGAAGAGAAGTATTTGGGCCACGTGAGGGCTTGTATACGAGTGACAGATGATTTCCATGCAGAAAGAGGAAGGTGCTCTGAGTTTTAGAAAACTGTGTGCTAGCAAGCCCACATGCAGACCACACTTTGAGAGGCTTGCATGATTTATCTTTGAAGACGTTTGTGTTTTCCAAGTGATTCCGTAGCTATGCCATGCAATCCCACAGTCTCTGAGGTTCTGTGACAATGTAGGTTAGAATTAAGACGCAAAAGAATCCCCGAGCCATCAGCCGACTGCAGCCTCTGCACGTGAGGACGGGAGAACTGAGCTGCTTTGGGGACCTGTGCATCACTGCGCTTTTGCTGCTTATTGAGATTCTTGGGATCAAACCCAGGTTCGCATGAGCTGGGCAAGCACGAGTCCATTGAGTGATAGCCTCCCTTTTCGAAATTTCCCAGGCTATCCTTGAACCCATGCAGGCCTGGAACTTGCCCTAACCCTCCTGCCTTAGCCTCTGGGGAGGCTGGGGTGTTGGGCCCCCACTCCCGGTCACTGCATTCAAATGTTTTTCTGTATGCTGCTTGTGTACTCACTGTCTGAGACCGTTCTCTTGCCTCCTAGGACCACGAGATCCTGGCACCAGCCATTCAAGTGCCATAGGGGAGGCTGATTGTCTCAACTTCTTTGTCAATAGTAGCTTGTTTCCATGCACTATACCCCCCCCCCCCCTTTCCTTTTTGGCTGTGTCTGTACAGCTGGATACAGCCTATGTCTCAACTTTGCCAGGAAATACTCAGCTGTACAAAATAATCAAAGGAACTTTTCTTCCAGCTGAGGCTTTATTTTTGTTTTATTGTGTTTTCAGGACAGGGTTTCTCTGTGTAGCCTTGGCTGTCCTGAAACTCTCTGTAGACAAGCTGGCCTCAAACTCGCAGAGATCCGCCTTCCTCTGCCTCTCAAGTACTGGGACTAAAGGCGTGCATGACCACACCTGGCCAGGTGGACATTCTTGACCCAAGTGTTTATTTGTTTGAGTTAGCTAAGGAGTAGCTCACTCGCTAATTTCATTATACCTTCTAAAATATTCTTTTTTTTTAATGTGTGTGTATGGTTTTTTTAAAGATTTATTTGTTATATTTTCACCCACCAGAAGAGGGCACCAGATCTTATTATAGATGGTTGTGAGCTAGCATGTGGTTGCTGGGAATTGAACTCAGGACCTCTGGAAGAGCTGCCAGTGCTCTTAACCCCTGAGCCCTCTCTCCAGCCCTTTCTCAAATATTCTTACTGTTGTATCTTGTTGTCAGAGTTGCACCTCTTTTTATTTTTTAAGTTTTAGTGTTTTATGTATGTAGATGCTTAGCCTGCACATTTGTCTGTACCATGGGTGAGCCTGGTACCTGCAGAAGCCAGAAGAGGGCGCCAGATCCCCAGGACCTGAAGTTATGGCTGTTGTGAAGCACCATGAGGTGCTGGGAATCAAACCTGGTTCCTCCAGAAGAGTAGCTAGTGTTCTAAACTATTGAATCATCTCTCCAGTCCCAAAGGCAAACCTTTTCAGGCCAGGTCTATAACGTTATAGGCCTGGGATATCTAAGGGACACATAATGTAGTGTGATAATTCTCTTTTTCCAAGAGTAGTCCCTGGTGCTTGACTTTAACAAACGTAACAAGAGAAGGCCAACCTAGTTAGTAGGATTTGCGTTGCTTTTCTGAATGAAAGGGCTTTTACTATAGAGGCTATTTTTTCTTTTTCTAGCACTTTCTTCTGAACGCCGTTCTCAGAGGTTTGGAGCACTTACGTCTGCCAGCAGAGTCATGCCCGAGAGTGGGGCTGCCAGGGACCTTCTGAGACAAAGGACATCATCACTGGAGAACCCTGAACCTCAGAGTAGCCAAAGTGAACGTGTTGATAGGACATTGTTTTCAGATAGTCTCGGAAGCAGGTATTTCCTTAATGTACTTTACAAGTGTAGGAGTGCTGGTAGTAACTGTCTTTTCACATGGTTAAGCCATGTGACAGACATGTGTCCCCACTTCACATATGACTTGTAACATGTACACAAGACTTGCTCTTCTCTAACTGAGGAAGCAGACTTAAGATTTCGAGTTGGAAGCAAGCGTGGTGGTGGTGATCCTGGCCACTCAAGGAGTCTGAGGTGGAGGGGTGATTTCACCAGGGGTTTGAGACCAGCCTTAGCGACACAGCCTGTCTTAGCGAAAGATCGGAGTTGGTAAGTGGCCATGTTTAGATCGGCAGAGTGTGTGGTGCAGTACACCAGAGAGAAAAGCCGTGTGGTGTCCTCTGGAGCTTAGCAGGGCCGAGCTCACAGCCAACCGCATGGCTCGCTGTGAATACTTGGGGTGAGTTCGTCAACTGAGCTTCACTCTCCCCGTCCCCGGAGCAGGAGCACTGAGGACACCCTGCTGCTTCTGTGGTATACACTTCCATCCCCGTGTTTATAGACAGCACTTGAGGTTGACCAGTGCCCTCCCTTCCAGCAGCCATACCAGGTACTGGATGAGGAACGTTACCTGGATCCACTCTTTATAACAGCCTCCCCTCCACACATGCATCAGAAGGGCCTAACCTGTCCTTATTTATCACTCATAAATGCACAGAACATCTGATGGGGGCAGGGATTTTAAACAAGGACATAAAATTGTAACCTGGTTGTCTGGACAAGATTGTTGGGCTTACTAACTAATCTGAAGTTTGCAAAGTGTAGAGCACTCGTCATTGCTAACAGCATCACTGAGGCGTGGTGTGCCGAGAGGCAGGCCCTGTGAGTTAAAATAGGGGAAGCACGCGAAAGTTCTTAGCTAGTTTATAGTCTTTTAAAATTTCTAATGCACACAAAAGCATTTTGATCATAAATGCTTTAGGTACTGTTTTGTAAAATATCAACTTATCATGTTACTTTGTATAGCTTATGGTTTATGATCTGTATTAGAAAGACCTGTAATGCGTTGCCAGCCTGACACCTGAGTTCAGCCGCTACGAACAACGCAAAGGAGACTCACTGCTCGAGTCTCTCTGACCTCCTGCGCGGTGTGGCCTCACACACATCCAGTTCATTGTTTCAATGCCCAGTTGCAAATTCTTTCAGGAAGGCATCTTAAAAACAAACAACTTTCAATAAGTTGTTCTTTAAGATCCATTTTTATGCAGGCAGTGGTGGCACACGTCTTTAGTCCCAGAACTCAGGAGGCTGAGGCAGGCAGGTCTCTAAGTTCTGAGTTTGAGGCCAGCCTGACCTACAGAACAAGTTCCAAGACAGGCTACATGGAGAAACCTTGCCTTGAAAAACAAAAAAGGGGGGGGAGGGTTCATTTTTATTATTTATGTGTGTATATACATGTATGCTGTGTGAGCATGCTCGCATGCATGTGTGGACACACAGAGTCCAGAAGATGATTTTAAGTTTCCTGGAGCCTGAGTTACAGGCAATTGTAAGCTGACCAACACGGGAGCCAAACTCCCATCTTCAGTAAGAACAGCAAACTCCATCTCTCCACAGGAGAATTTTTTTTAAAAGATATTTTTGAGACAGGGCTTCTCTTGTGTAATAAGACTGGCTATCTGGAACTTGCTTTGTAGACCAAACTATCCTCGAACTCAGCCTGTCTCTGCCTCCCAAGTGCTGGGATTAACCTGAGCCTCCTCTGCCCTGTGAGAATATTTTTAAAACAAACATTGAAGGGATTGAAATTAACAGTCTGTTTATTCACTTTGAATGTGTAGATTCATACACGCATGCCATGGTGTGTGGAGGTCAGAGGAAACTTTTCAGGGATCACTCCTCTCTCCCAACATGCTCCAGGGGTTAAACTCGGGCCATCAGGCTTGATGGCAGGGAACCATCTCGTGGCTCCCCAAAGAGATTATGACAGATAAATTTTCTTAATTTGTTTTTTTATTGGCATACGAAAGAATGAGTTTTGTTATGGCTTTCTCAGGTTTTTGTGATATGTGTGTGCACAAGGTTCTGTGTTAACAGAACCTCACACATGCTAGGCAAGTACTTTGTTCTTTTAAATTACATTTTTATATATATATGTTGTACCTGAGTGTGGGCACATACATACCCAGATCTGGTCTAAACTTAAGTTTATGATTAGAATATATTGTATTGTGTTATCAAGTCGATGTAGCCGACTTACAGGCATTATGGCATGTCTGCAGTCCCAGCACTTGGGAAGCTGAGGGAGGAACATTGAGAAGCTAACGTGTGTTACATAGCAACACTCTTTCACACAAAACAGAGCAAATCTGTTACACAGTAATTGAGTTGCTGTGCTTCAGAAGTCAGCCTCCTCTTGAGCTTTCCGTAGTTACGTGGGCTCTGGATTTGGCTATGATTCAGCTCTACAGGTGATTGGAGTGATTGGCATGGGAAGGGACCAGCTTTCAGGGGAAGAGCGTATCATCTGTGTGGCCATTATGCAATAACTGTAATTCAGTCTGTACAGACCAAGCAGGCTCCTGGGCCAGGCTTGTCCTGACCTCGTTATGCAGACTAGCACCCTGTATAAAGGATGGACTCAAAGCACAGGCTGAATGACTGTAATAAGACATTAGTGTATGACCACTGTTTGTTTCAGGTCCAGCCAAGTAGAAGACACTTTGTGTCCTGGAGAACAGGATTCAAGTGCCAGAGACCATGTAAGTCTTATTCTGGGATGGCAATAGGTAGCCAGTGGTGTCATCTGTTTATGTCAGACAGGAAGTCATTCAAAGAAAGGAAGAAAAAGTAACAAAGCTTCCATTGGAAGCCTAAGTGAATCATGCAGTCATCATTCTCATTTGATGCCGCTTGGGTTGCTTGAAACATATCTCTTTGTATTCTTCAGGCCACAGCAGCATGAAGATAGACCCAGTGCACTGGAGCAAGGGTCACAGTCTTTGGCCTCCCATAAATATGTTTAAATTATTTTATGTATGAATGTTTTGCCTGCATGTGTCTGTCTATGCACCGTGTGCATGTAGTATAAGAAATGGACGGGGAGTTAGAGAAGGCTGTGAGCCGCCATGTGGGTCCTGGAGTCGAACTTGTGTCCTCTGGAAGAGCACCCAGTGCTCTTAGCCTTTGAGCCATCTCTTGCTCTGGCCTCTGTTTTTGAACTGAACTTGATAACATAGCTATGTGCATCTGTGTGTTAGGTCTACCTTCTTTTACTGTATAGACCTAGCAGGCTTGAGCTGGAACCCTCTTGCCCCAGCATCCTAAGTAGCACTATAGCCTGGTCCTACCAGGCCCAGTTTGCTCTTGTAATTTCCTTTCCTTTCACAAAAACATTGGCCAGTCTTTGAGGGTGCTTGCTGAGAAGCTTGCCTTCATTCCTGCTAGTTCTTTGAGGTGTGAAACAGATGGTAGGATTCATAGTGTTCTTTAGACTTTTTGTGTGGTTTGTTGTTGTTAATGTTGTTGTGTTGAGACAGGGTTTCTCCGTGTAGCCCTGGCTGTCCTGGAACTCTGTGTAGACCAGGCTGGCCTCAAACTCACAGAGATCCTCCTGCCTCCCGAAGTTCTTAGATTAAAGGCATGCGCCACTACCGCCCAGCATGCTTTAGACTTCTTAATATGTCAGCCTTCTGCTTTTCTTATATTTTGTAATAGTAAGACTTTTTTTTAATGTGTTCCAATTACGGGTAATTGGAATCTATGATGCCCATTTTGACCTCCAGGATGGAAATGAGGTCAATGTCAAGATGGATTGTTTCCCCGACGACATGATGGATTTCCCTCTCCCTGCTGGTGGAGCTATGGGTGATGCCGTGCAGGAGGGGGCACTTTCCGATGATGTGCTGATGAGTAATCCTGAGAGAGACTCCCCCGCTCGAAGTGCCCCCTCACAGGAAGAAGCCGCGGTGTCCCAGTCAGGTAAAGTCTTCTCAGACATGGCGAAGCCTGAAAGAAGCCTAAGTTATCCAAAGGTGTGATTGATACAGGGTTCTGAGAAAGTTTTTCATGATGGCTAAGATGTTAGAGGCTCACTGTAAATATCACACAAACTAGTTTCAAAATACTTTGTTCTTCATAATCTTAGCAAAAGAGGAGAGACAGGAGGCTTACTCCTAAGTTCAGGTCCAGCTTGTCCTACAAAGTGATCCAGGCCAGCAAGAGCAATACAGTGAGACCCTGTTTCAAAACAAAAGCCAAAGAACCTGGGGCTTGAGACATGAGTGCCGATCCACGCTGGAGCTGAGGGGCATTCGGTATTGGACCCGTTTGGGGGTCCTCACAGTCAGAAAAATGCCAACAGTTCTCTTCTTCAGCCCATTCCCCCAAGCTGTCTTCTGTCTACTCTGTTGTGACTGTTCTGTAAGGGCCTGGTCTCCTCTGCTGCCCTCAGTCTGCTGGAGACTCAGGTAAGTGTCGCAGCTGTGCAGACATTTCCTGTGTTCTCCTGGACTTCGGTGTGAGACGTGTTCTCACTTTGCAGCCCTGGCTGGCCTGTCCTGGCTGGCCTCATGTAGCTCCGCCTGCCCCAGCCTCCCGAGTGCGGGTTGAGCCGTGGGCCTCCACCCTGGCCCTGCTCTTCGTCCGCTCCTCTGGGGACCTTCACTATTGCTTGTGCGGCGCTTTCTTATAGACGACCTTATATACTCTTTTTGTTTTTCAAGACAGGGTCTCTCTGTGTAGCCCTGGTTGTCCTGGAACTCATGTCGTAGACCGGGCTGGCCTCAAACTCAGCACTCTGTCTCCCGAGTGCTGGGATTAAAGGCATGCATTAAAATGTGACATAGACAAGCATGGCTTTGTTTTAGCGTTTGATTGTAGCTTGTCCTATCTTTTAAAGCTCTGCCCATTGGTAACAACCCTTGACCCAAAAAATATTGTTTAAAAAGTATTTTCCCTTGTTTTCCAGTACCATTATATAGACAGCTCACTTCGGAACATTGCCTTCTTGATCCAGTAAGTCTTCACCTTAATTTGGCAAGTTTCTATATATTCTAGATTTGTACGATTGTAAAGTTTTTGTGATTTTTATCTTATTTATGGTTACTGTGTGGGTGCAGGCATGCCACAGTTTGTGTATGGAGGTCAGAGAACAACTTTCAGGAGTTAGTTCCAGGGCTGGAACTCGAGTTGTCAGCCCTTGTACATGCTAAGACCTGTCACCCATCCTGATTTTATTTGGTTTCAAAATAGGGTCTTGTTATGAAGACCAAGCTAGCTAGCCTCTAACTCTCTCTCTCTGGTTCTGAGATTACAACTTTTTGTATAAAATGAAAATTGCCCACTTTTCAACTTGTGTGCAAGATTTAAAATGCATGTGTTACCATTATCTATGTGTATGTGGAACTGTGTACATTATCTGTTGTTCTGAACTGGGGACGGGCTGGAGGGCACAGCTGTAATGGCTGCTCTCGCAGAGAGCCTGGGTTCAGGTCCCAGCACCCGGGTGGCAGCTCAGCCATCTGTAACTACGGTTCCAGAGCATCCCATGCCCTCTTCTGGCCTTCATCGGCAGGGTACCCATTCACATAAAATACATAGTTTTTTTTATAATTGATATACTCTGTCTTAAACCCTGACATGCAGTTTGCTATTCAAATCTGATAGGACAAATGGCTGAAAACTTATCTAATGGTTGGCTTGAATTCTGCCAGATGTTTCTAAGTGATGCAAGTTTTTATAATAAAGTATGAAAAAAAAGAACACCTGTAATCCCAGCACTCAGGATGCAGAGGCAAATGCATCTCTTGAGTTTGAGGCCAACCTGGTTTAGAGATGGAGTTCCAGGACAGCCAGGGCTACAAGAAAACAAAACAAAACAAAAAACCAAGCATGAGGCTACTGCTTCTCTGAAGAGCAAGCAGTGCAGTATCTTCCCATCTCAGTCCTCCTTGGCTGTTTTCACCCTAATCCTTTGGATTTATGCTCTGCTGTGTTCTTTTTAAGCTGCCAGACTTTACTTTTAGTAATCTTGTACTTGTAAGTTAAGTCCAAACATTAGCTAGCCCTTCTGAAGTCTTCCTGTAAAAGTTCTCTTCTCTCCTATATTAATTTAATGTAAACATAGCTTTCTAGGCATGCCATAATGTATATATTTAGCTCTTCACGAAGACCACAATATAAACTTAATGTTTCTGAAATACACCATCATTTCAGAAATCTGATTCTATAACTATAAACTCGTTCACTTTCTGACTGACGCTCACTGGTATTGATGGTATTGACCTGAACATCATAGTTCTCTTTCTACTGAGAGCACAGTGACCTTTAGCCTACCTCTAGACATTGTCATTGATATGGAACAAGACTTTGTCACCTGTCCTTCATCCAGTGAGTCTAATGTAGCTGGGGTGACACTGTAAATGGAGTTCTTAATTGACCTAAATAACAGAAACCCAGAGTCAGATATAGAGGAAAATGCTGAGAGATCAGAGAGAAGCAGGAGCAAGCCAAAGCCACCTTTACCTCATTAGCTTCCCAGCAGAAGAGAGTTCCTGTTTCTTCCCGCTTATGTCCTCTCTCCGCCCAGCCATCTCTCTTCCTGTCTGTCTGTGCAGACCTCCTGACCTCTATGGTTAGCTAGTGGCAAGCTCCATCCTCTGATCTTCAGACAAGCAAGATATTGCCACATAACACCGTTGGCTTACTGACTTTCCGTGAAAGATTGCAGCACCAGCTGCTACAGTAAATCAGGAAATGGCTTCAGTTTGCTAATCTTGAATATTAGACTATAAGAAGTTCACCGTGCTGGCAAGATGTGCCGGTCTGCACCCAGATTCAATCCTCGGAATTGACATGGAGGAAGGAGTGAACAATTCCTGCAAGTTTCCTGTGACCGCCTTGCTCTTGTGTGTGTGCCCTTGCATGCACTCACTCAGTAAATGTAAAAAATAAACAAGAACTCCACTAAAGCAAAGGTAGACTTAAGTAGCAGCGCATACATTTATTCCCTAAGCCAGTGATTATTGAGGCATCTTTGTGTCATCTTGCAAATGTACTGTCTTTGGTGAGGCCCTGTGCTGCCCTGTGTCTCGGGAGCAGAATTGTCACTATCCGCATTCTTGGCCTTCCTTACTCACAAGCTGGGTTAGGTCAAATTTGTACAGCAGACCTGATTTAATCCTACTCTTAGGTCTCTTCTCTGATAGGTCTCAATATATGAGTAAAACTGAATTATTCTGCTTTTGACACATGTAATATGATTAGAGGTGCTTTGTAGCTATATGTTGTCTCACTGAATTTTAGTACTTCATACTATTTCTATGATTTTTTTCCATTTCCATAAATATTAAACATTAGATATTTCAGTCTGTCTGTTGCCCAGATTAGTGCTTACCAGATAGCATCATTTGGAACGGAAGTGGGGCTTGATTGGGGCAATTAAAAAGATCCCAGTAGGATCACACCATGGTAGAAGACCCATGGGTGCTGTTAACGTGGTTTAGGATTTGTGGAATCTGCATAGGTGGCTTAAGATGGGCTTTAACTCAACCTGCATCTGCCGTAAAAGTTCGTTTACACATTAATCATTTTTTAAGTAAAAATTCATAGTATGCCTTTTAATTAAATGCTGTAGTGGCTCACCCCTTTAATCCCAGCACTCTGGAGACAGAGGCAGACTGGTCTCTGAGTTAAGACCAGCCTGGTCTACACAGCAAGTTCCAGGACAGCCAGGGCTACACAGAGAAACCCTGTGTCAAAAAGTAAAATAAAAAAACATTTTTAAAGATTGCTTTACATTAGGTCTTCTGTTTTTAGTAGTTTCATTGTTACATAGGGAGACTTATTCTTTAGCACTCCGTTAACCGGCGGTACAGGAAGTTTGTTTGGGCAGCAAACTCTTGATGATGAAATCAGTGACATTTCTGCATTTGTTCTTCAGCCAGCCCTAAGCAACATCAGTCCCTGCGCACAATTGGAGACCAGACAGCAAAATCGTGCCAGGTACATCTCCTTTGGTGGTGACCTCATCGTCTTCTCACCTCTGAGGCCCAGAAGTAAAGAGCACCAGGAGGGTTTTTAACTTAAAAGTAATTCCAAACATTTTTTCTTCGTATCATTAATTCTCTGATACATTCTTAAGTTGTTGGAAATGAAAAACATGTGCTAGTATTCACTTTATTTGGTCTGTTTATATTGTATTACATAATATTTTAGTGTTCAGTGTTTATTAAGACACTTGTGGTACTGTAAAAACTGCAGGTTTTGTAAAATATTAAACAAGGAACAAATATTTGCATCTGCGGCGTCCTCATTTATACCTATTCATTTGAGCCCCTGTGTCTGATGACAGCAAACAGCTTTGATTTCCTTCGTTCCTTTAGATGAAGTTTTCGGGATCATGAAGTCCATTTGTTACAGATCAGTCCTTGCTGCCTCTGCTAATTGTCTCTTTAACAGAAACAGTTACCATTGACGAGGTTGGAATGGGCATGAGTCTTAAACTTTTACAGAATGCTGTGAGCTGCCTTGTGTGGATGCTGGAATCGTGTGCACTCGTAACTGAGTCGTCGTCACTCCAGGCCTGCTCTTTTATAAACTCTTAGTTTTGTGGTTATAAACACAGTGCTAACTCAGGAGAGAGACAGCTCAGCTCACTTAATGTTGTGGCGTATGCCGCCTCTTCCACATACATGCATGCAATAGAAAATAAATACAAACACAGTGCTCCAATGACAGCACTAACATGCTAATGCCAGGCCTGCATTGTTATTTTGCTCTGTGTGAGCTGAGGATTGTAGGAAGACATTAAGTAATAGGAACCTTGAGGGTTATCTTTTAAGATTAGTCATTTCCAGAAGAGAAAGCTTAATCTACTTTGGATGTCAGAAGTAGATGTGTTTGGCGTTTGGGAAGACGGTGTTTATTATGAAGCCCAAGCAATTTAGTGGAAGAATGTTCATAGAATGCCCCCTTCACCAAAAGATGCAGGGTGACTTAACAGCCCACTGATGCATAGCCACCAGCTCTCAATGACACGGAGACTACTTAATTATGGAAGCTTGGCCATTAGCTTGCCTGGTTGAACGAGCTCTTATGACTTAACCTGTGTTCTGCCATGTGGAATTACCTCATCTTGCTTCCTGAGTCCCAGGGCAGTGAGATGGCTTGATGGGTAAGAGCACCAAGCCTGATGACCTGAGGCCGATGCCTGGAAGCTACACGGTAGAAGCAGCCCAGCTCTCTGCATGCTCTTGTTCCTTCATGTTAAGGGAAGCTTTTCCTTGCTAGCCGCTTTGGTTTATCCCCCACCAGCCGCCTGGGCTCTGCTGCATTGTAGTCCCCAAATAAACACACAAGACGCTGTATTAATTATGAAGCTGTTGGCCTTGCTTGTTTCTTACTGGCTAGCTTTGACTTAAGTAATTACCCCATAATTGTTAATCTAAGTATGTTTCTTACCGGAGAATAGTCCCGGGCTTCCTACCCCATGCGGTTACATGTCGACTCTCTTGTGTTTCTCCTACCCAGAATCCTCCTCGACTCCTAGTCCCTCCTATCTAGGTTTTCTATTGGCCAGACAGTACTTTATTGACAAATGCACAGGCAAATAACAGGACTTCCCCAACACCTTCAGATGTGGAGTCTAAGTGCTTGCCTTTTTTCTTTTTTTTTATGACCTGTCTTCACGAACAGAAGAGGCAATCAGATTCCATTACAGATGTTTGGGAGCCACCATTTGGTTGCTGGGAATTGAACTCAACCTCTGGAAGAGCAGCCAGGTTCTTAACCACTGAGCCATCTCTCCACTGCTTATCTTTACAAACCTTTTGATTTCTGTTCTCCCTGGGACATCAGCTTGTGACAGGCGCCAGTTTAAATTGTTTGAGAAGATAGCATTGTAGAACACAGACAGTTCTGACATTTCCCTAATCTTTGAGCCTGCTGGTAATAGGAAAGATAGACGCTTATGGTGGGAGAATGAGAGTAAAAAAACCAAGACACAGAATGTCTCATTGGATTTGAATACTGATTTGAAGGCAGTGACCTGTGGCTTTAAAAGAAAAATGGGTTAAAAAACAGCCTACACCACAGCTGTTTCAGGGCTGTATGTATGATTGTCTCATAAATCGTGACTGAGAATGACTCCAGTCACCTAGTGATGTGGTCCTCACAGTGTACATGATTGCAGGGATGTGGTCCTCACATGTAACACAGTGTACATGATTGCAGGGATGTGGTCCTCACATGTAACACAGTGTACATGATTGCAGGGATGTGGTCCTCACATGTAACACAGTGTGCATGATTGCAGGGATGTGGTCCTCACATGTAACACAGTGTACATGATTGCAGGGATGTGGTCCTCACATGTAACACAGTGTGCATGATTGCATGATTCTGGTATGAGCGACCTGGTCCCTATTGTGCAGAACAGAGTCTGGGTGGTGTATACACCACATAATTCTGGGAGACAATATGTATTGTGAGAGCTGGCCACAGCCTCACACCCCTCTCTGTACTGTGTCTACACTTGCCTATGTCCAGGACTGTGCCTGTGTACCGTTTGATCTTCTCCCGGAATCACCTAACAGTACTAAATGGCATGACTACCCAGATGTTAGTAGTGACCGCCTAGTGGTGAACTGTTAGCACTCCTCATATATTTCCTTTTTAAAAACCACGATGGGACCTGGAGAGTTGGCTCAGCAGTTAAGAGCATTGGCTACTCTTCCAGAGGACTGGAGTTCAATTCCCAGCACCCACATGACAGCTCACAACTGTAACCTCACTCCTAGGGGGATCCAACACTCTCACACAGACATACAAGCAGGCAAAACACCAATGTACATAAAAATAAACTTAAAAATCACGATGACCTACTAATATATTTCCACTACTTACCCTGTTCCAACTCCTAGTGCGATAAAGAGAACCAGCTAGAACACGCCATGGGAGAAGAGGTATGCAAGCTGAGGCCTGAATGGGCAGCTCAACCGTCCTCTCTGGCAAAAACAAGGGCTGAGCAGCTAAGAGCATGAACCACTTTGCAGAGGGCCTCTCACCTATGAGCAGGCTCCTGCGCGCGCACACACACACACACACACGCGCGCACGCGCGCGCACACATACAGTTTAAAGGGCAGGGCACATTTGGCGCAGTCATAGAGAACACTTGCCTAGCATTCACAGGTCTTTAGATTTGATATCTAATATCAGAAAACAACCAGGTACCCGTCAGCACGGGCATATTTATTAAGTGCATGCCTTACAAGAAGGGTAAGATGGAATACATGTAGTTTTCCACTCCGAATGAGCACGGAGCCTTTAAATGAGTACCATTGAACTTCAGTTTCAAGCGCTGCCCTTCCGGGTTAGATCATGGTGGGTGCAGCACTGGTAAGGGTTATATCACCAGAAATTTCCATCTGGTTGATTTCCCTGAGGTTTTTCATCCGATGGTTGTACTGCAGCAAGTGAGCATCGTTGACTGCAACCTTGAAATGGTCAGCTTCAACCAGGACTTGTATCTAGAAACCAAATACAAAAACCATCAGACAAAGCACGTGTTAACTCGTACAATTTAGGCATTCCACCGTGTGTCTGTTTTTCAGGACATATTGTCCATCATTCTCATTTGTCAGTTTCTATATGAAGAGGGAAGGAAGAAAATATAGAGATTTTGAGCCAGTGTAATCTGAGTTGAGGGAATCCAACATTTTATTGTGGAATGATGGAGATCCAGAGACAGAAACTGCAGAGCAAAAGGAATCTAGATTGTCAGATTTAAACCACAATAAAAAGCATCAAAATCATCAGAAGGATAGACAATGGAAACCATAAAAGCATAATTTGCCTATACACAAGTTTAGTTTCAATGGGTCCTAAAATGCCTTGAAGTTAAAAACAGCAACATAGAAACTTGTTAATGACAAATATTAACTTATAGGACTGGTTAGTTTATAGCCAGTTTAGGAAAGGCCAGGAAACACACACTCCCCATAGTGGACATTCATCCTTAAACCCTTTAGAAGAGTGCTAGTTTGGAGTCGTCCAGTGACAACAGCAAGGTCTCTGAAGGAACTGGAGAGCACGCCTCTCCTGGACACATCCCCAGCCTGCTGAGCTTGGTCGTGGGGAGGAAGGTTGGGTAGGTGCCCAGGACAGGCGTGCGGTTTTGAGTGTTGCTCTCCATGGGGGAGCATGGTGTCACACCACAGCAGGAACTTACTTTGAACGGTCTGCCACTTTCGAATGGGAAAGCTGATTGCCTTTCTTCTCTTCCCCAGTTATTATCCTGTTTGGTGTTGCACACAATGACTCTCCTGTTGTTTTCATTGAAGCGAGGGTTAAAGTGGAAGGCTATGTCGTTCCCTCTCAAGAAATTTAGAATAATCCTGTTTTAAACCAGAAATCAAAGATATTAAAGTGTATCAAGTCAAGAGCATCTACGTTTCTAAAAAAGCAAACCTTCTTATCGTATGCAGGGATTTCTGTATAGGAAGGAAATAAGCCAGGGCATGAGATCCTACTCAAAAGAAGAGTAGGCCCATGCTCTCATTACGGTGATCAACTCAAAAATCTAGCAGGGCAATACGTGGCGCACGCCTTTAATCCCAACACTCAGGAGGCAGAGGTGGGTGGATCTCTGTGAGTTCCAGGCCAGCCAGGTCTACAGAGTGAGTTCCAGGACAGGTCCTAAAGCTACACAGAGAAGAAACACTGTCTCGAATCTGCTCCTCCCCTCCCTCCTCACCCCTGCAAAAAAAAAAAAAAAAAGATAGTCTTTATTCCCAAACCAATCAGCAGCTCTGCTTGGGTTATAATCTACAGCTCTGTTGGGTTGTAATCTATAGCTCTGTTGGGTTGTAATCTACAGCTCTGTTGGGTTGTAATCTACAGCTCTGTTGGGTTGTAATCTACAGCTCTGTTGGGTTGTAATCTACAGCTCTGTTGGGTTGTAACCTACAGCTCTGTTGGGTTGTAATCTACAGCTCTGTTGGGTTGTAATCTACAGCTCTGTTGGGTTGTAATCTACAGCTCTGTTGGGTTGTAATCTACAGCTCTGTTGGGTTGTTGGTGTCACCCTGTGTACCTGTTTGCATTGGGCTTCACTGTGCCCATGATTGTGATCAGCATTCGAGGCATGACTCCTCCAGCCAAGGGCAGCTTATAGGGCACTGTCTGGGAACAGACAAGAACATGTGTGTCAGTAAAGCATTGGGTTTGCTTGGGGAAAGTGAAATTACATTGCTAACATTGTTACAATGCATGTGACACAGACCCCTGGGCCACCCATCTAGATTCTGAGGCCACCTTGCTTAAGTGGTGAAGTTTCCTGTGTGCACAAATGTTAACTGAGAAATTAACAAATGAGGATAAGATGTTCTGGGATCATCACTGGATGAATAATCAACCCATTATTCATCCTTTGGCTAACATTTTAAGGTAGACTTGACCAACAATTCCTTGTCACATGACATACAGCACTGTGATTCTGCTTCCTGAGAAAAGGTTTGTGTCACCTGGGGCTTCTGTGCTCACAGGTCACCAGGTCACAGGTCACCAGCAGAATGCTTTGAATATGGAAGTCTGAGCACATGTTGAGTGAACACTTTAGTTAATTTCACAGATGCTGAGCTAAGTGTTTACCATAGCATGGATACCCCCAGAATTCTGCCCTTGCCTCTGGTTTCTCCTTTATGACACTTCCTCGCAGGTTCAGCTGTCCCCCAAACTTTTGTCTCTGGCCCTGATTTGCACTAGTCTGGTATGTGCTTCCTGGAGTTGCTCCCGGTGGATCTGTGAACCGGAAGCCTCTAGCACAGGTATATGCTTGAGGTGTCTCCCCTGCCCCTTGCCCATCAATCAGTTCCCTTTCCTACATCCCCAGTTTGAGGCAAGGCTTTGTGGCTTTGAAAAGCACTCCATCTTTACTGGGGCTATAGGTATGAGTCACCCCACTCAGCTAGTGCTTGTTAGTGCTAAACTTCTCGTAGTATAAAAATAATATAATAGTACTATAATAAAATAGAATTAGTTTTTGAGACAGGGTCTCTTTATTTAGACCAGGTTGGTCTCAAACCTGCAGAGATCCGCCTGCCTCTGCCTCCGAGTGCGGGGATTAAAGAAATGTACCACTATGCACAGCTCATTACCGCAACCTATACTAACAAGTCACAGCATAAACTTAATGTGAACATTCATTTCTCCGCTTGATCAATACAGCCCTGTGATTGGCCCTTGAGACAGGGCTCAAGCTGCAGCCTTAAAATTAACCCCCTAATGTAGTCTCCCCTGTATCCCAAGCCCATGAAACAACTCTTGCTTCTTACCAATGCTCCGGTAGGGGCGCCATAGGGGCCAGCAGCAGGATAGGCTCCAGGAGCACTGGGGTAGGCCCCAGATGCTCCAGGTTGCCCTGGGTAAGCTCCTGGGGCAGGTCCAGGGTAAGCTCCAGGGGCAGTTGGGCCAGGGTAGGCACCAGGAGGAGCCTGCCCAGGATAAGCCCCTGGAGGAGCCTGTCCGGGGTAGGCCCCAGGATAGGAAGCCCCTGGGTAGCCCCCTGCCCCAGGTTGGTTCCCCCATGCACCAGGCCATCCTTGAGGGTTTGGGTTTCCAGAGCCAGCTAAGGCATCATTAAGCTGTAAGTAAAAGACAAACAATTAGAGGATGGGACTCGTTCACAAAATAGAATTCACAGGACTACAGGCATTCGTGGGCTAGGAAGCTGAGAAATAAGAGAAGGGTCACATTCTGCCCTCACCTACACTATGTTTAGACTCAGGCTTGGGGATTGCGCCTCTGCTGTTTATTTTATTCTGGCCTCTCATCATCACAGATCAGGGAGGGCTAAATTCTTCTCATTTACACCAGGAACTGGCCCTTTACAAGCTTTATAATGAACATGGGAAACAGCTGCAGCTGTTGGCCCGCCACAGTCCTGCTGCTTCCGGCAGGGACAGGGACGTCACTGCTGCTTGGAATCTGCTGCTGGAAAAGCAAGCCTCCAGCTAACAGGCCCGGAGCAGACAGCTGAGCCAGACCGAATGTCACATTAGGAGGGTCAAAGGGAAAGCTTAGTGCTGGAAATGAGACCATTAACCTGTGTGAGTGTGTGGGGCTAAGGAAGCAGACCCGGGATACTTACCGAAAAACCGTCTGCCATTTTCCTAAGAGAAAAAAGCCAAAGGGAGTTATCATTATTTGAGCCTAAAAGACTTTACAAACCTTCATGAGATCAGCATCCCAAATAGTCTTGGACAGTTCCAGGCAGTCTACAATGATTTCGCCCAAGTCAATGGTATAGGACCGAAAAACATCTTGTGAAGGTGCAGGATACTTTCAAGCTGAATTTCAAACCTACTTAAATTGTGGAGTTAGACCTTGGTATGGGATCTCGTGTTCTGAATTCTGAGAGTAAAGCCTTGAGAGGCAAGGAGCAGGGTGAGAATTTCTGCCCCTTCTTTCAGTGAAATACGGTACAAGGTGTGGCTTCTCTGTCTGCCTTCCTTCCTGGGTTCTCTCTACCCTTCAAAGGATTCCCATGCAGCCCAGGTCACCCCTCTTCTCTTCCCAGACATTCTGGACCCTGGAGGGAAGCTGTGTGTCAGTTCCTATTGAGATCTCCAAGGCAGTTTGACATGGCTGCTGCCTGGTTATTTATCCAGCTTTGCACACACTGATACCTGCTCTGAGCCACCACCTTCCATGCAATCCCAGGGCCTGCAGACCAGCAGGGGACATGAGATATATGCACACAAGGGTGTGACCAATGCTGCCAGACTCTGCGGGGACACTCAAATCTAAGAGTTTACTTGTGATTTGGGAAGGGAGATGGTGTTGGACCAAAGCCTTGATGGACGGGTGACATCTGGGAGTGTTTTCTTTTATTGTTTTTTTTTTTTTTCTTTTGAGACAGGGTTTCTCTGTGTAGCTTTGGAGGCTGTCCTGGAACTTGCTCTTGTAGACCAGGCTGGTCTCGAACTCACAGAGATCTGCCTGCCTCTGCCTCCTGAGTGCTGGGATTAAAGGCGTGCGTTTCTTTTATGCTTTAGAAAAGTCTTTCTATGTAGCCCATCCTGACCTTGAACTTAGGGTTCTCTTGCCTCAGTCTCATAAGTGCTGGCTGTGCCGTGAGCCACTGTGCCTTGCTTATTTTAAAGGTACTTGTTATTCCAAATAAAAGGTTCAGCAAGCAGTAAAGCAGCCCAACAAAGGCAGTCAGGTGGCCATGGGAACAGAAGCATGTGGGGGCCCAGATGCTGTCAGACAGGTTTGTCTTGCACAAAGCTGCCGTGGGGCGGGGCTGGTTTGCAGACATACACGCTTCCTCCTGCTCCTGCCGTGCCTATAAAAGCACCACCTACCCTTGTTGCAACAGCTCCCTAGAGTGAAGACAGGAGGGCAGCTTTGGTACGGGAACTACTTTCCTTCTCTCTTTCCTTCTTTCTCCTTCCTTCCTTCCTTCCTTCCTTCCTTCCTTCCTTCCTTCCTTCCTTCCTCCCTCCCTCCCTCCCTCCCTTTCGGTGCTGGGGATTAAATTTCCTGCCTTGGCATATTTGGCAAATACTCTAGTGCTAAGCAACACAAAAGAACTGCCTTGGACCAGGGTCAGTTCTAGCTGAGCTCAGAATCACTGCGGTCATCTTGCGACCACCAGAATGACCTGCACCTGGAAATAATCAGGAATCTTCTGACGTCATTTGCCCACTTGTGATATTTTACCCAATTATCCCGAGAACTCACATTATTATCTGAGTGTGGTGGCTCGTGCCTGTAATCCCAGCATTCTCTAGCATGAGGGCTACCATGAGTTTGAGGCCAGCTTGAACTACATACCACGTTCCAGGGGCTCATTCTGGCCTTGAACACTTATGGCAATCCTCCTTCCTCAGTCTCCCAGTGACCGAGATCAAAGACGCAGTGCCCGGCTTCAGAATTTTCACAAGAAAATAAAACCTAGGTTGGGCATGGCGGCACACAGCTTTCAGAAGACGGGGCAGACAGATCTCTGTGAGCTTGAGGCCAGGCCTGGTTCCCAACCAGCCAAGGCTACATAGCCCTGTGTCCATTTTGGAGGCTGTTGGAGGACAGTCTTCAAGTTCAATGTGGGCAGGGAGCTTAGCACCTTTGATTACCCTTTCCCCGGCCCTTCAGCCGTATCTGGCTTCACGTTGTTAGAGGCCAGTAGCACACTACTAATCTAAACTTGTGACAGCCCAAAATGTTTTCAAACATTGCCAGGTATCCCCTAGGGGCAAAACCAGGTATGGTTGAAAAACCAACCACTGTAGGCTGTTACCGTCTATCCCTACATAAAGCTACAGAAGCAAGGCAATAAAAACTAACAAGAGTTTCAGGTTTTAAAACTAGCCAAGTTTACAAGGAAGGGTGGTGGCCACCTGTAACCTCAGCTCCAGGGAAGCTGAGCAAGAGGGTCAAAAGTGTAAAGTCCATCTAAGCTGCAGGCCCGAGCAGCCCCTGTTTCAAAAACGGGGCAACCTATAGTTGGGTGTGGTTCTGCACACCCGTCATCCCAGCAGGCTGAGGCAGGAGGATTGAGTTTAAGGTTAACCTAAGTCACATAGCAAGGTTGTCTCCAAACCCCCAACAGGAAACACTTCCCCAAAAGAAAATCCTTTCTCCCCCTTCCCTTTAGTGGGTTACCAGTTTTAGAGGCTGAAGACTTACCGTAACTCTTTGGTCTGAAGACTGAATCTCCAATGTTAAATGTTTAACATGAAAATTCTGTGTGAGAAAGAAAAACACCTAACTTTACCAGTTTCTTCAAAAGGTGTCTTGTTAATAGAATACCAATTAAATTATGTTTAAGAATGACACAACTAGCTAGAACTTCAAGTACAATATTGAAGAGACATAGAGAGAGTAGACAGCCTTGTCTTGTGCCTGATTTTAGAGGAATCGCGTTGAGTTTCTCTCCATTTAGCTTGATATTATCTGTTGGTTTACGGTATGTAGCTTTTATTATGTTCAGGTATGTTCCTGTTATACTGGATCTCTCCAGGACCTTTATTATGAAGGGGTGTTAGATTTTGTCAAAGGCTTTTTCAGCATCTAGTGAAATGATCATGTGTGTGTGTGTGTGTGTATGTGTGTGTGTTTGCAGTTTGTTTATATGGTGGATTACACTGATAGATTTTCATATGTTGAATCATCCCCCATGGAGTGCCTCAACCTCCCTGGGGAGCAGAGGGAAGATGGGATAGGGGGCTGGTGGGGGCGGGGGAGGAGGAGAGGGAGAGGGAGAGGGAGCTGGGATTGACATATGAAGCAGGCCTGTTTCTAATTTAAATAAAATTTTTAAAGATTTTATTTATTTATTAATATGTATACAATGTTCTGCCTGCACGCCAGAAGAGGGCACCAGATCTCATTACAGATGGTTGTGAGCCACCATATGGTTGCTGGGAATTGAACTCAGGACCTCTGGAAGAGCAGCCAGTGCTCTTAACCTCTGAGCCATCTCTCCAGCCCCCTAAATAAAATTTTTTTAAAAAAAGAATGACACAACTAGAAACTGTAAGGGCACTCCACACTGAGCTTTGTTCTTCGAAAATCCTCTGATCAGGACAGGTTTAGTCCGGTTTCCAATCTCATCAAAGGAAGTTTTAGAAACAGCAGATTTCGTTGTGATCCACGTGGGCTGTGGATGACAGTTTGGATACACTGTGACATGTTCCACAGGATGCCAGGATAATGACGCATGCCTTCCTGCATTTGTGTGGGGATTTTCACTGCCCAGGGAACTTTCCCAGATCTGCTCTAATGCTGCCAGCAATCTGATGAGGCAGACTGGGGAAATCGTTCCCACTTTAAAGTGAGAAATGAGCGAGCTAAGTCAGTGGCCCAGAGCCATCTCAGCGGCAGTGTGCGGACCAGGGCCCAAGTTTCCCGGCCCTACATTGTTGATGTTTTCAAACAGACTGCTTTGAAATTGTTACTTTATGACAAGTTCTCTGGCTTGTTCACCCAGAACTACCCAACATGCTGAAATAGTAAACACATTTAAAAATAAGGTCAAGCTCGTCCCAGAACACTAACTCAGTGACTCATTTACCACACAGGATACTGAACACACAATACCATCATTCAGTCACATGGTTAGCTAAGAAGAACCACATTTTAACCAGTAAGTTGTATTTTTCCAGAACCAGAATTTACTGTTTGATTTGTGTCACCTCTCAACCATAGATTTTTTTTAACTGAGGTGTGTGCGTGCATGCGTGTGTGTGTGTGTGTGTGTGTGTGTGTGTGTGTGTGTGTGTGTGTGTGTAAAGGGGGTCAAGGGACAGATTTTAGGAGTTGGTTCTCTCCTTCTACCATGTGGGCCCTGGTGATTAAACTCAGTCAGTCTTGGTGACAAGTGTCATAACCCATTGAACTTTCTTACTGGGTCCAGATCTGTTTGTTTGGTTTAGTTTTTTGAGACAGGGTCTCTCTGTGTAACCCTGACTGGCACTCACTCTGTAGACCAGGCTGGCCTTGAACTCAGAGATCTGCCTGTCTTTGCCTCCTGAGTGCTGGGATTAAAGGTATGTGCCACCACCACCTGGTTTCAGATCTATTTTTTGAAAAGGATTATAACCTGCTCTTTCCAAACTCTCAAATGTAGGACATTCTTTCCAACCTACAGATAATGTAAATGTATATACTCCAATCTTTCACTTCTAGAACCAGGAAAATTTTGAAGAGCCACGGTGGGTGGGGAGGGTTCACCAAAGGTATTTTTTTTTAAAGCAGAGTATGGGTCTTGGTCTCTGTATTTGGAAATACGGCATTTGGAAGCAGCAGGCAGAAACAGTTCACTGTCATTCTGAAAGATGAACTTAAGTATGAGTCAGTGTAACCAGCTGTTAATTGAGAGCTTCTCCTTTAATAGGAGTGGCCCACTGCACCCTGCTCTGCTGGGCCTATGTGCCAATCACCCAGTGCTCCAGGTTCCCAGGGACTCTTCTGGAACTTGTGTTCATAAAGAACAAAACTGTAAAACACTGACTGGTGATCCTGGGCCCTCTCCATGCTACCTCCCCAGGAGCCCAGGCAATACCTCTCCGTTCCCTGTCTCTCCGTTCCCAGCCTCTCCGTTCCCTGCCTCTCCATTCCCTGCCTTCATGGAAACACAGAGCAGGGCATGAGGAAGCCCACATTCCAAAGTGGCCGCCAGTGAGAGGACACTGGTCATCTCCTAGGGTTTCTTTCTCTTCCCAGTGCCTCATATCAAAGAAGATAAAGTTACTCTGTGCTTCTGTCTACTTTTCCCCTTTGGAAAAGCCGAGTATCAGTCAAGGAAGAAGGCACGAACCCTTATCAACAGCAAGCTGGGTCTGTTGCAATGGAGATTTAAGCTCTGGCTACCGAGGGTGCTAGGCAAACAGCACCTAAATCATAAGACCAACCTAGACTACTTGAGCTTACTGGCAGGAAGTAAAAAGTTTATTTTTTTATATATTTATTTTGAGACAGGTCTCACTCTGTGGCCCAGGTTGGCTTAGAATTCTCCATGTAGCATATGCTGGTCTTAAACTTGAGATTCTCTGGGCTCTGCTCCTGGGTATTGGAATTACCGGCACTGGCTCCCACACCCACCTAAGGAACAGTTCTTTGGAAAGCATCTGTGTCTATGCACTGAGTTCTAGCCAGTGCTACCTGTGAGACCCCCATCTTGAAAAATAGCAAATAAACCAATAGAGCCACTGTGCTTATTTTTGACCCAGTGAAATATCTCATTGATTAAACACCCCTGAGGAGACTCAGTGATTTTATATAAACGTGATCAGTTCTTCTGGTGAACGCATCAAGCAGTCCTCCATTCCTTCTGCTTTGTGGACAATTTAGTGAGCTATCCCTTAAACACTTCTAAGCTTAACCCTGAAAGTCCTCCTCAGAATAGGGAATAAGTACAGATTTTAAACTCTTAAGCATTGTGAATTTAGGAAGCTAACCCCCATCAAGAAAAACTATGACTATCATAGAGAAAGGGGACCTGCTTGAGAAGTACTCAGAATCAATGTGCACAGTCTAGCATGAAAGTCCACACTCTGTAATCCCAGCACTCAGGAGACTATGGTGGAAGGAGTGTCATGAGTTCAAGGCCAGCCTGGGATATGGACTAAGTATGAGGCCGGCCATATATTGTAAGACCCTATCTCAAGAAACAAAAGCAAAACAAAGCAAAAAAAAAAATCAGTGACCAAGAAGGAAAAAAATTGCTAAGTGTGGTTGTATTAGCCTGGAAAATCACAAGTTCAAAACCAGCCTAGAACACATAGGAAGACCTTGTCTCAATCAAAAACAAAAACTCTTCCCATCTTAAATTACTTAATCACCCCTCCCAAAGACTATTGTTGTAGAAAAGCAAGCTTTTGTTATTTGTTTTTTTTTTTTTTGATTTTACAAGACAGGGTTTCTCTGTATTGTTTTGGAGGCTATCGGTCCAGCGAGCCTAGAACTCACAGAGATCTGCCTACCTCTGCCTCCCGAGTGCTGGGATTAAAGGCATGCACCACCACCACGTTATTTCAGTTTTTATGGAGACAGTTGGGGGTGGCCGCTCTGTAATCTAGCACTAGGGATGCTGAGACAGGATTGAACCGTGAAAGCCAGCCTGGGCTACATAGTGAGTTCCAGATCTGCCTAGGCTGCCAGTGAGACCCTGCCTTCCTCTCCCCTCCCCACCAAGGCAAATAAATAAAAATATGGAAATACATAAACTTGAAGCAAACAACTTGGACTTCAGAAAATTAGTGATATAAACACTGGGAGCGCAATTGTTTTCCTCAAAATAAGCTGGGTCACTGGGTCCAGAGGTAACTCATTATCTAGAAACACTACTCCCCAAGGATCACTTTACAAATAATCTAGTTTCTGGGATGGGAATCACAGCTTCGATCCACACATCTCGGTCCCCTGCATTCGTGTTTGAGCAACAGACAGCCGAACAAATCCAACTTTTAAAAGCCTCCAGCTAAGGCTCTGCACTCTGGGAAAAACAACACCACACCCAAGACTTCCCTAGCCCAGATCTAAAGTTATTGCACAAACCACATCGGGCACTGATGAATCACTTGGCTTGCAAAAGTTTAGAGGTTATCGTCGTTCCTCATCTGGGAACATGCGCACTAGAGCCTGGGCGACACTTTTCTGTGCGGTCAGCACGCAGGGAGTGGCTGTAACCCCTGTCGCTGCTGGACCTGGTAGAGCTCACCGGCGCGGCACGGCAAGATCTCTAGTGAAAGGCTCTGCAGGTGCACCAAAGGTGCCTGCTGGCTAAGTCAGGGATCCCTGAAGCCGTCCTGAGGAGTGCCCCAGCAGCCCCCCAGCGTGCCGGGAGGAGGACCTGATTCCTACGCCGAGCTAGGGGCAACCGCTTGGAGCCAACTGCACGGTGGCTCTTGTGCTCACTCGAGCCGAGATCTCCCGATGCATGCCCAGGGCCCGCTTGCATCTCGCTGCCCTAGCGATGCTCAGTATGTAGGTCTCGACTAACTTTCTCCGAGAGTTACCCGCGGGTGAGCCACGGCTGTGGACGCGTGCCAGGGATGCTAAAGGTCGCCTCCCGCCAGGCAAGCCGCCCTTTCTTAGTGCTCTGAGCAGCACCGGTCCCCCTCGCTCCGCTCCGCACAGCTCACCTGGCCAGTGTTCCGCCCGCCGCTCCGCTAGCTGCTGGGCGGTGGCTGGGCGCTTTTTGAACACTTCTGCCCGGCCCGGCCCGCCCTCCCGGGGCGGGGCAGCATCCCCAGTCCAGCAGGCGCCTGGCTGGGCCGCGCCCCGTGGACTCCGGAGCTTCCCCAAACTGCAACAGGGACACTCTCGCCAGCCTGTGCCCCTCACCTGTGCACGGCAAGTGGGCCCTGGTCCCCGCACCCACACACTCTCAAACTCACCCGATTCTTCTCATGGTCTCATCCTGCCTCCATTTCCTCCACCCAAAACCTTCCCCAGAAGTGAGCAGTGACTTATGCGGGTGAGGGGAGGGAGGAGCAGGTATCCCTGACAGGACTGAGCTGTGAGAGGCAACCCCACCCCACCCCGTTTGTATTCATTCCCGCTCTGAATTTTGCTGTATCTGTATACTCCAAGTTTTGGTGTTTCGATCTACTCAGAATGTGATACATAGTGGGGTTTTCTCAGTGGGAATTTGTGGATGGATGGATGGATGGATGGATGGATGGATGGATGGATGGATGAATGAATGAGTGAGTGAATTGCTTCCTAGGAAGATGTTTTCTTAATGATTAGAGGAGAGTACTGCATGGCAAAGGAAATCAAAAGAACAGGGCGAAGCGCTGCCGTCTGTGTGAAGAGTTGTTACAAGGGCGAAGCACTGCAGTCTGTGTGAAGAGTTGTTACAAGGAAACAGCCACCTTTGCAAGAAGGCTGATAACTAGTTTGGAAGCATTTATTTAGATAAAAACTGAGTGACTGGCATAGTGGTTAAGGATATTCAAGATGATTTTTCTTTTCCTGCTTCAGATGATAACATCAACCTAATAATCCACCAAACATTTATGCACCAGGTACTGCGTCTAAGGCTTTACATTTATTTATGGAGATGGTATTATTTTAATCCTGTTAGGTCGAAAGCACCCCCCCCAATGGCAGTGCTGGTGACAATGCCCTAAACAGAAGGCTTAAAGGTCGTTTCTGTTGACCAGGAATCTCTCTTAATCTGCCCCTAAATGTCTAGTTCCTGGTCAATTCCAACAGGATGTATCAGCTCAAAGCTCCCCTCCCCCACTGTGATATAAAATCCGTTTGCATTCTCCCCCAACCTGGGGTGGGGTGTCACCTTGGCAGTTTGAGCCCCAATAAACCTTCCTTTCTGCCCATGGAGCAGACAGTCCAGTGCAGTAATTTTGCTGTGCCCTTGTTTACAAATGCCACTTGAGACATGAGAAAATTTAGGTATAGAGAATTAAATATAATCGTGATCAAGGTGAAAGTGTGTTAGAGTCCAGGAGTTAGAGAAATGGTCCCTCTGGTACCACATGTCTTCCCGCTCCAACAAAACCCCAAAGACAGCTGTCAGACAGCTCTAAGGGAGGCGGCCCCTGAAGAACCTGAGTCAGACAGGAAGCTCTGGTCCTGTGCTGTGTCCCTCTGGAGGGGCAGCTCTGCTCCTCCACTGCCCAGTGAGACCCAAGAGGAATGAGCTGGTGCCCAGCCTGTGAGAACACGGCGGAAAGTCACCCTCTGCAGCAAACACAGAGTCTGCCTCCTCGGTGCTGGGTCCCAGGCTCCAGAATGTTAAAACGGAAGCACTTGTTGTTTACAAGCCTCCTGGTCACTGATTCTTCTTGTATAGAAGCCCAAATGCGCTCAGACGCTGGGCAAGCAATTTGGGTCTCCAGGCTCCTTCCACTGGAGGAGCAGAACCCAGTACTAACTTTTTTTTTTTTTTTTTTGGTTTTACAAGACAGGGTTTCTCTGTATTGTTTTTTGAGGCTGTCGGTCCAGCCTGGCCTCGAACTCACAGAGATCCGCCTGCCTCTGCCTCCTGAGTGCTGGGATTAAAGGCGTGCACCACCACCGTCTGGCTTTTTTTTTAATATTTTATTTATTAATATTATGTGTTCAATCTTCTGCCTGCATGCCAGCAGAGGGCACCAGATTGAATTGTAGATGGTTGTGAGCCACCATGTGGTTGCTGGGAATTGAACTCAGGACCTCTGGAAGAGCACTCAGTGCTCTTAACCTCTGAGCCATCTCTCCAGCCCCCAGAAGTACTAACTTTTATCTGTAAAACAACAACAGCAACATACCACTGGTGGAGAGAATCGCTGTAGGACTGACTAGATAAAGCATCAGGTAAGCTTGCTTGCTACAAAGCCCGACAGTCTAAGTTTGATCCCTGTAACTCACAAGGAAAGGAGAGACCCGACTCTTGAATGTTGTCCTCTACCCCCCCACATGCTCATATGCATACATGCAAAAAGAAATGCATTTTAAAACATTAAAATAGGTAAATAATATTTTAGAGATAAAATAAACGTAAGTGTAAAAAAAATCACTGTGGGTAGGTGTGGTGGCTTCTGCCTTTAATCCCAACACTTGGGACGCAGGGACAGGCCGATCCCTTTCAGATTAAGGTCAGCCTAGTCTGTATAGGAATTTGAGGCCAGCAGGGATACATAGTAAGATCCTGTCTCAAAAACAAAAACAAACAAAAATCCAAAACAATCATTGAAGATACTGCCTTATGTAAACCATGAAGCAGTCCAGATGCCACCTGACCCCAGGATTCCTGTAGTCTCTAAAATAATCAATATTAGTGTATTAATAAACGGCCTGGGAAATGTGCACACACTCATTCATTGGTGGCACTGAGGAGGCCTACTGTACTCTACAATAGATCTACAAGTTCTACAGGGCCTGCCACTGTCAAAGCATTGCTGTCCCCTCCAAGCTTACACATGCAAGTCACTGTGTGGCTGCAGATGAATTCTGACACCGTGAACTCTCCTCTGTACAGGTAGCCTGGCAACCAAGTGTTTGAATGAGTCATCTGGAGATGATTAGCATGTGAGTATTGAACAGGATGGGCCACAGGGCTTTTGTCCCTTAAGAAAATGCTTCAGGCCTTAAGATGTTGAGTCACTAGGACACTCTTTGAGGGCTAGCC